ATCTAAAGAAATAATACTAATAGTATTAAAATTTACTAATTAATCCTATAAACCCTAAGTAATAGTAATACTCTTTACTATAGAAATAGTATTAATAGTACTAAAAGGGTTTAATTAGCTAGTTATAGTAATAATACTAGCTATTAGAATAATTACTAAAGAAAAGTAGGTTTTAATATCTTTAGAAATTAATCTCTCTATATAGCTATCTTTATTAGCTATTTTAAATCTTCTTTAATAAAAAAAACTACTAAGATCTAGATTAAAATATAAAGTAAATTAAAAAACTTTCCTAGTATAGGGTAAGAGCTTTTAAATCTAAAGATAAAACTTTTTCTTATTAAAGTAAGTAAAATCTAGACTTATAATCTTTTAAAAGATTAAAACCTTTAGTATAGAGTAAACTAGCTATAGAATAAGCTAGATCTAGAATAGATATAATCTATAGAATAAGCTAAGAAATACTAAAGAGATTATTTTAAAAGATATAGTAGAAGAAGTAGTTTATTTAGTAAGAAAGAAAGACTTTATTAGCTATAGAATAGTTAAAAAGATAGACTATAGAATAGATAAAAGAGTAAATTAGTAGTTTAAAAAATCTCTATCTAGTAGGGAGAAAGCCTTATATTTATAGATATTTTAAAGCTCTAAGAGCTTTAAAAATAATATATTATCTTTTATAATATAGATTTATAATTACTATAAAGTTCTTATATAGTAGATAAAAGATCTATTAATATAAATACTATAGTAAATATAAAGTCTACTAATATAGCTATTATAATAGTTATAAGATTTATTAACTAAATACTAAGGTTCTTATATAATAAATATAAGATCTACTAATATAAGTACTATAGTAAATATAAAGACTATTAATATAGTTATTATAGTAGATATAAGAATTACTAATATAACTACTATAGTATAATATAAGATTACTAATATAATTACTATAGTAGTTATTATAGTAGTTATAACTACTAATATAATTACTCTAATAGATAGCTATAGTAGATTAGACTAGTAGCTTTAGTAAGCTTCTAGCTTTAGAAAGCTCTAAATTAGTTATTTTATTTCTTCTTATTCTATATTAATCTGAGATTATTTAATTAACTAATATAGGGTAATCTGATCTACTCTATAGTCTATAGAGTAAATCTTAATAATATATATAATAAATATTATAGAAAAAGACTTTAAATAGAATTTTTAATCTATAATCTATATTTATTAATTATAATAGTTAATAATAATTTCTTTAGTATTATTAGAATATAGACTAATAATATAATTAGATTATTAGATATTAAATTTAATAAATAGGAAACTAATAAATTAAAAAAAATATAATTTACTATTAAACTAAAGTAATATCTTATATCTAATAATCCTATTATATTTAATAGAGAGATTATTAATATTAATATTAATAGTATAATTTAATTAAAGTAAAAGAATTAAAATAGTAAATTATAACTTATTTAATCTAATTAGACTAAGAAGTAATATATTAAGTAATATATCTATAGTATATATATTATATTAATCTATTAACTAGAGATATTATTTAATCTATCTATAGCTATATAATACTAAGATTTATTAGATATATAAGTTAAAGTACTAAATAAATATATTTAATAGTAAATTAATAATTTAAATTAAGAGTTAAATTTTATTCCTCTAAATCTAAAAATAAATAAACTCTTTATATTTATTAATAGATTATTTACTAATAATTAAAATCTGATATTATAACTTAGTTTTATTATTATTTTAGGGCGTAATGTGAGACGTGGTCTCTCAGCACATTGCAAGTTCCGAGGAACTGTCGTAACTCCGTCGCGTTGCGTGGCATCGGCCATGATAACAGGTTTTTTTTGTCGAACTGCGGTATGCAGGAATCCTTATCATATTCGAATCCACAGTAGGTGATTCTCGTGACCTCCTCTTGCGACTTCTTGAGGTTGATCACTCCACCGTACGTACTTATGATCTTTTTGACCTGTTGAGACAGGGCGCGGCATTCCTCGCGCGTGTCGGTGTGTATCAGGATGTCATCAATGTGACGCACACATTGTCACCGAGTATTCCGCAAAACCAGGTTTCTACCCAGAGTTGAAACTCTCCTGGGGCGTTCTTTAGGCCAAACATGGGTACGCATGCTTCGTAAAGGCCGTAAGGAGTTCTGAATGCGGTCTTCCATCTGTCCTCTTCGCGGATGGACATGGAGTAGAATGCGTTTTCTAGATCGTATTTTGTTTTCCATCGGTGCGCAGCGATCCTAGAGCGCTGGTACCGATCGTTTCTTGGTGCGTATATCCTCGGTTTCGTGATTGAATTGAGGGGAACGTAATTGACGCACACGCGAAGACTGCCATCTTTCTTTGGGACGAACAAGATTGCGCAGCTGTGTCGAGCAGTAGACTTACGAATCCACTGTCGGGTGACGGCGAGATTAAACCACTCCTCAAAAGCAGCACGTTCTCTGGCTGTCGTTCTGGGAGGTGGAGCGTTAAATCGAGGGACATCGGTCAGCTCGATAGCGATCTCACGTCGGTTCATACTGAAGTCAATATAAATAAGTATAAATATAATAAGAATAATGATTTATTCTAACTAATAAATAATATTATCTACTATAGTTTAACTAAATATAAATATATTATTTATTTTATTTTTATATTTAAAGTTTATAGTATAATTACTAGTATTAATATTATATATATAATTTTAACTACTTTTTAAATAATTACTAATTATTTATTAATTAACTATATTCTAATAATTATATATATAGATTTATATTTATTATATAAATACCTAGTTAAACTTAGTATAATAAAGAAAAAGTAATTTATAATTAATATAATAGCTTTATACTAGTTATATAAATATTATAAATTAATAGAAATATATTAAATTAATAGTAAAGATAATCTTATTAACTATTTTACTAAATCTATTTCTAACTATTTATTAGAATAGTTTATTAATAATAATTTAGTTATTATATATAAGAAAGAATAGATTATATATAACTAATATAACTAATAATTTTAATAGGTTTATATTAGATAGATTTTATACTTTACAGATTTATATATTTATATATATTTAATTTATTATTATATAGACTTCTGCTTTTAGAAGGGTATTTTCTATTTATATTCTAGTATTTCTTTTTAATTAAAAGAAAAATAAAAAGTTATCTATATTAATATTATTATCTAACTATTAATAACCAGTCTTATTAATTAGTCGGATAGGTCTGACTAATTATATATTTATCTAACCTTTAGTTAGAACCTTCTAACAGATAGCTTTTATCCTAATAATCATTATATTTATTTTGCTTCAATTTACTGCTTTTTGCTTTGCTGTACAGCCCTTGTCAAACCACAATACAGTCCTGAAGGAGAGTTTTCACTCCAATATTGGTTGTGGCCGACTCTAGTAGATTCAATTAGCCAGAATGATTATTTTAGAATTTCCTCTCTCCCATTTCTAAATTTGCCTCCCCCCAAATTGGGATTCTGAATGCATGCTCTTCTAATGAATCATTTGTCGACCAACGAAGTCAAGAGTAGGAGAGCCTGCCTGAAAGAGGAGCGAGAGAACACCTCATCAATAATCTCGCCATCAATATCGCGATAAATCGAATGCACGCCTATCTAAATCATTGACGAATAATTCCCATACCTTTTCCGCAGCTTACGGTATTAGCATGGCGTGTGATTTCGTTAAGCTTGTCACAGTAATAGCACAGCTAACGATGAGGGTTACTGGGGTCTACGAGTCCCATGACACCGGGTCTTGGGAGCAATGACTGTTGTCTAAGAACTATTTCCGCCTAAGTTGAAGCTTCCGAACCAACCACCTGGTCTCGAGATGAAGGTGGGCCAAGGCCTGTATGTGATTATGAACCCTAGGCATAGTGATGCCGTTGTTCAAGACCAGGGCCCAGGCCAAAAGGCCGTAATTTGTTATTTGTTATTCAATAAGAACAACCTAGCATTCGGAATGGATCAAAGGATCCGGTGGAGTTTCCAGTGACCAAGCCTCGAAGAGACATGCCGCGGTTAGCAAATGAGTTAGCTAAGCTTGTAGCATCCCTTGTTTCGATCTTGGTTCGCCCCAGCCCCAACCGCAGTTCGCGGTCTTGGTAAAAGTGTATGTGTCCGTACACCCTGAAACGGAAGTGGCCTTACCCCGTGTTGAACCTGGCAGAGCTCTCTCTGGGGACCTGGGCTGAGTCGGCAAGCTTCTTACAGACTGGGTTACAATGCTTGGACCCCTCTCGTGATCTAAGCCCTGGTAAAGCCTGGAAGTTGTATCAAGGAGCCCACTGCCGTTCTCCACGTTACAGCGCTAAGACTCCCTCTTGTGATCCCACTTATGAGATTCATTCCCTTAATGAAGCTGCTATGATTGCAGCCACTTCCTTTCCATTTGGAAATTCGTGGTCGCCTTACACGCAACTCCAACCCTATGAGAAGACGCGCATTAAGAGAATGCTATTTAACTCTAATTCTTAGTTATATGTTGAGGAGAAAGTGAGTTGGGGTGTGCCGGGGTCGCTCGATTTGGCTCAATTAAACGTTTCATCATTGCCCACTGAGGTTCAGAATGCAGCAGTGGATGGGTCGAGAGATTGCCTGGAACGGCAAGTGATATATCGACCGCTCACTGTCTGTGTTACAGATTCCTGGTCCGCTCTATTTTTATCTCCATCCTCATTCAAGGCTTCCCTTGTACCTGGTATGTTACATCTATTCCAGTATTGAGCATGCACAGCCTTAATGTGCTTGGGGATAAACTTGCCAGGAAACAAGTACTTGATGCTTCTTCTCGCTCAATGCTTCAGTCGACAGCTGACGACCCACGATTCATGTTCATTCATGGCTTCTTTCTCTGGCCGCGACGCCAGAAGAAAGGATAGTTAATTCCATTCAAGGACAGGGGTCAAATATAATTAATTCCTTCACACTCGCGCAATGCAATATGGCACGCTTAGCGCCGAGGCGTATGTTGCCGCGGGCGGCGCAGCAGCCATTCTGGGCTTCACCATTGCGGCCGCAATCGCGACTGTCATTCTTGCTATTATCGTCTTTTTCAAAACTCATCAGCGAGGAGATGACGCTCGCATTGGCATTCCCTGGCTTAAGGCCGCTGGCGGTCTTGGCTCATTGTAGGGCCTACGCACCAACCTCTCACCCGCCGTGCCTCTCTGCTGACCACGTTTCTTCTCTTCAGGTGGCTGATTCTTGCTATTGTGAGCCCGGTGGCTGAATATCTGATCAGGCGGGCGCGTCCAACACAAGGCGATACATTGGCCTACGACCTCGGTATCCAGCAGTTCTCAATCCTCACCAATCTCCTCATGTACGGTGCCTACGCCACTCTTCTTCTTGCCCAGCTCGAGTTCTCTATAGGGCTACGTCGCGTCTGTATTTTATTGCGCGAACAAAAGGTCAGCGGGTTTTTCGAGGAAGCTTCACGTGCACCGCACATTGCTGGCGTCGCCGCATTTCTCGTCGCCCTGATTATGAACGCGAGCGACGTGGTTTGCACAGAGCTATATTACTCTGGCATTGAGGCTGCATTCCTGCCTATGCAAATTACCGCACTGTCCCTTCATGCTACTCTTTGCATTTTCTCTATCGGGACCCTCATCTACACGGCATCCCAGTCTAGAGAGGTGCCCCATACACGCGTAAGTGAAGCCCCAGACATCATACACAGTTTTCTCTTTGAATATCCGAGGTATTGAAACTCGCATACATAGATTTGGGCTCTTCTGATAGCTTTAAACTCGATCGCGGCTGTCCGACACGGCGGCCTCACGATTCTCAGAACCTTTTATAGCATCACCGCCACTCAGGGTGACTTGGCTTTCTTGCCTGCCCTTCTAAGCTTCGTTCAACTAATATTTGGTTCTTGGACATTTGTGATTTGCCTTGGAATTGCATATGGCGGCATTGGCTTGACGCATACTAAAGGTGGATTGTGGACAAGAGACCCTTTATTACATCAGACGCAAAAGGCAAAGTTAGCCAAACTCCAGCAACTAGACTAGTTGGAGAGCCGAGAGTCAATCATAAGGCGCTCCAAGTACAGATCTATTCTTGTATTCGTAACTAGAAAATTCAAGGAATAAAATTACACCGTCTTAGGTCTTAGTGTCAAAGGCCAGACACGAAAGCAAACTTGGATAGGCTCGTGATGGTTACAAATCCTCACACTCAGATCCGACCGAGTATCATGAGAGGGATTTAGTTTTAGGGAATAGTTTTATTGGGACGCATAGTAGGAGGGTTATAAAGGGTTAGGTTACTATGTAGAGCGAATTCAGTTGGCTTAGGGTAGCGCACTTGGTGGTTTCGTGAACCCATTGGGAACCCTATTTCAGGTTGCTTTAATAAGCATTGATCTAGACTTCCAATATTATTGACCTGGAGCGAGTCCACTTTTAGATTGGTACCAAACACTTGATGCCAAGCTCATTAAAATCCTTCAGCTGACAGACAGGTTTCACACCGACAATGTCTAACCCCAGTATAAGGGATGAATTCGCGGACATTGAAAAATATCTCACGTCGCTATTTCTGCATTCACGGTGACTTTTCGCATCCTCCGCCACTCACGTCTGCTCAGTATGTCTCAGCTTGCTACTATGTCTTCTCCGGCCACTCTTGTCAATCTGCCAGGTGAGCTGCAACTCATGATCATGGAGCGTGCACTTCCCTATGATCTCGAGTCCCTCGCTCTCACGTGCAAGCAACTTCATGCGGTTGCCCTCCCACGTCTACCGGGACATAATGCTCTGCGACAAAAGTACCGGCGCTTTCATTTCACCGACTCGTACAATCAGCGGGAGAAGAAGGACATCACTGAGACAGTGACGGAGCTCTTACTGGATATTGCAGCGAACCCATTCATCGCCCACTATATCGTTCACGGTGACTTCGGCGACCGGGTCTGCACTGATGAGATCCGACAAAGTCCTTCCAGCTACCGGGGTGCTGTACTGCAGCGCCTGGAGAAAGAACAGGACAACTTAAGGGCTCTTGTTAAAAATTCGCGCCACCTCGCGATGCTGGGCTTGGACACCGGTGTCTGGTTCGACAATATTTTTGCTGATAGGGACGAGTATGATGAACTCGTGGATTACCCGGTTCGTTGCTTCCCCGAATATAGAAGTTCGCTCCTCCACTTACGATTGATTTGGGCGTGGTAGCTTGCATTCCTGCTCAGCCTGCTTCCTAATCTTGAGTCTCTTACTCTCCCAAAAGAATGGCGGCCCAACTCAGTGTTCAGTTTACCGGACGACTGGGAGCCTGTTAACGACATTCAAAAAGGCGTTCAAGACCTTATCAATCTACTGGTCACTCGTGCAAATGACATCGAGAAAGTTGTGGGAGACCAGCCTTTGCGTAAACTCCATAGCCTGCATCCCACCAAGAATGTTGACACCCAGTTCGGAACGAATATCGTTACAATCGCACCATTTCTAGCTCTTGAGTAAGTCATATGAGTGTCAATTAGGTACTTCTTCCTCATTGAAGGAATACCAGTTGTGACACCAGAGTATCATTGGTTAACATGCAATTTTTGCCTTTTCTAGTTCTTTGCGTGAGGTTCACCACGACTCAGCGGTGTGCAATCAGATTGGGTATATTCTAACGAAGAACCGTAAGGGAGGATCTTCTAAGACGGTGCTTGATTTCCAAGCCAAAGGCAAATACCAAGTGCTCGGTAGGAACCTAGAAACTGCTGTTTTCCAAGATACCGTGATCAGTGGCGAAGCATGCGGAGCATTAATCAGGCATATGCATAAACTGAAAGTGCTTGACGTGGAATACAACATGAAGGATGAAATTGGGTATGAATATCTTTTCTCTTCAATGTTTCTATGTATGCTAATCTTTCGTGCCTTTAGTTATGACTGGGAGCCTGAGGTATGTATTCTCACTACAAACTTTCTATGGTTAAGTAGATTTGAGACCGGGCACTTACTAATGGTTATAAACTTAGGTGTTTCTCTCCGGCCTAATGAGTCTAGGCAAGACCCTTGAAAGCCTTAGCCTCACAGCTAACAATCTTGGCCCTGACCACGGGCGTATATTTCTCCCGGAAGGAGATGTAATGGGTTTACAAAGCTTTGAGGTACTTACTTACCTAAAATTGGATACGAAGCTCTTTATTCATAGCAGGGCTGTCGTCAACAACTGCGCTGCCGAGCCAACAGACGAAGACGACATTGAGACCCCCTCGTTGATAAATATTGCGCCTCGTAAACTGAGGACATTCGTGTTGCATGTTCCAGCCACCCAAGAGGATTACGTCGTGATGGAGTGTCTGTTTGTTGACCTCAGTGAGCGACGAAAGGAGTTGCCAGATCTGAAAACAATCAAAGTCGTCATCGAGAAGCAGGATGTCTGGGGCGATGATCTCGAAGACTGGAATGAGCACGCCGAGAAGATCAAAGCTTTTTGCGAGGAGAAGGATATCACAGTTGGCATGCTATAGATGAAGAATTTATCCGTCAAATCCTCCTCAGTCATTCATAGACAATGCTAGGGATAATTAGGGCTGGAACAAAACCCACTAAGGCCACTTTGATTCAATCTTATTTTTTCTCTGATTTTCATGCGGATCAGAAGAGCGTCTTCCCTCTGGAATAAAAAGCCTCAGTGAGAAGTCAACGCGCGACGAAGAATTTGGGTATAATCTGCTTTTCGTCATGATCAATACTTGAGAGAATCGATGTATTATTAGACACGCTGGCCACCGGGTTTGGGTAGTATTCGGTGTCCACATGCGGGAATAATTGATGACAGCATTGCCTAAAACGTCTCGCCGGCCGTTGAACGCTTAGTCCAATCACGAACCCAGGCTAGTTTCTTATTTTCACCTTAGTCCCATGAATATTCAGAGATTCCAATATGAGTAGAAGGAACATTTATATTAGCATATTGCCGTTCTAGCCGTTGAGTCATTCCCCGAAGACTGCATCGCTGTCTGACTAACCACCCGCTTGCTGGAGCAATGGGTCAGGAGTTGAATCCTAAACGGAATTGAAAATGTAATCAAGCGAACCGATGCCCAATAAGCCCCCAGATCATGACTCAAATGTCCACGCTATTCCTTTCAGACTTAAGTCTAGGTGGATCAATGGGTTGAAGAGCAGTCGAGTTCTATACAACCGCTACCGTTACATGAACGGCTCATCAACACGCGAGCGACAGTTCGCTTACGAGCCGGACATAAGCGTTACAATAACTCACATCTCCTCTTTGAGTAAAAGGTAAGAACAGCCCCGACAGATAGAGGGGGCATGGGTATGGGGTTTATTGTAGTGAATCAGTTTACGAATATAAGACTACTCTTGGTTCTACAATATCATTGTGCGAGCTAGGTCTGACCAAAATACGATAACCTTTAATCCTCCAGTTCAAAAAAGAGTCTCTGGGACACGCCCCAAAAAATTAATGCAAATCTTACTTTCGTGTTATTCAGTCTATTTTCAGAGCAAGGCCTTTTTCCAAACAAGAGACCAATGGCCGCGAACACTACAGTTTTCATGACACCGGAAGAATCCGGCCGTGTTCAAACAACAGTCCGGGATGTCATACAGAAACGGCGAGATCAAAGAGGCCAGAGATGGACACCTCGTGATCCCATATCCTTAATTCAGGAAGCAACATCGGCATCTCTTTTACAGGACCTCTCTTGTGCTGCTTTTGGATTGGGAGCAGCACCTAAGCAGAGCCAGGACACTATTATAGCATACGGCATTGGTGTTCCCTACTTGTCAAGTACTGCCAAGCTGCAGGACCTGGTTCCCATGAACCTGAGCGATCTCGGCATGGAAACACATCACCGAGGGCGTGTGCTTTCTCTCCGTAGGGTTTCTCCTGTGGTTGAGATGAAAAGCTCCTCCTGGGCAGCTTTTCAAGGAGATCACCAAAACGAGGTAGAGCGCCTGGAGGTTTTCCTACACACGTCTCAAAATGGCCAAAATATCTTGAATCTAGGGTTTGAATTCCTTGTCAAAGAGCCGTACTATACCATCAACAACCATGGCCAACGCACCCTCCGTATCGACCATCCTTCGGACCTTGTCATCTTAACCTACAATGATGGCCCCGAGTCATGGAGGCGCAGAGACCGGAGCGAGGGACTGCAAAGGGATCATACTCCTATGGAGTGCAAAGAGTTGGGGAACACAGCTCTCTACGGCAAAAATTATGCAATGGCGCTTGCGCATTACACCGAGGGCCTGCGCGTGTTGATCATGCAGGATGATGACTCGCGCTCCTTCTTGAAACACGATCTGTATCGTAACCGCTCACACGTCAATCTCATACTTGAACGTTATGATGCCACAATAGCCGATGCTTTGGAATCACTCACTCATAGTGAGGATGGGTCTCAGAAGGATCTTGACGCGAAGGCATACTTCCGCGCCGGTACTGCTGCGTACCGTTTGGGCAATTTCAGGGATGCTAAAGACTACTTTAACGAACAGTTGAGGCTTCTTCCTGGTAATCGACTAGCCAGCGCCTATCTTGAAAGGATTGAAGTGCGGGAGCGTGAGATGAGTGATGGGGCACATGACATGGACAAAGCCTTGCGGAGTCTCTCGAAAACCAAAGGACGGCTAGATGCTGCTGACTTCGTTAGACGCACGAAGGTTAAAAATAGCCCTGTGTCTAGAAGAGGCCTATTCGCAGCAGAGGGCATTGAACCTAATGACATTATCATGTGTGAAAAAGCATTTTGCGTTGTCTGGGGCAATGAGAATGAGGCTTTCTCCGCCTTGACGTGCGACGTACGTGACGATGCAGCTATTCGAGTCTTCCCTGCAGGTTTGCATCAAGCAGTGGTGCAAAAGCTCATGAAGAATCCATCTCAAATAGGGACAGTTTTAGATCTCTTTGGCGACTACGAGGGCCTTGGCAAGAAACCCTGTGCGAGAGATGGGGTTCCTGTGATCGATACCTTCCAGATCCACGATATTGTCCAGCGTAACGCATTCGGTGTCGGGCAGCAGTCGGAGGATGATGGCTATCGCAATGCCAGTACAGGGCTTTGGATCAGGGCCTCGTATATAAATCACTCGTGCATAGGGAATGCAAAGAAGGAGTTGGTGGGCGACTTGATGGTTATCCGCGCAACCCGCAGGATCTTGGCTGGCGAGGAGATCATGCATAGCTACGACACGACGAGTGATTACGACGCGAGAATGAGAGCGCTACATTTGACCTGGGGTTTCCATTGCAGCTGCAGGTTGTGTGTTGCCGAGGCCCAGGATAGTCCGGCTGCACGCAAGAAGCGGCTCATGCTGGAGAAAGAAGCAGATCTTTTTATTGAGAGGACCAAGCCAACAGGCGCGGGCATCATTGCTGTTAACAGAGCAAAGAGGCTACGCAGATCTATTGAGGAGACATATAACGAAAAGCATTACAAGAACCTTCCTCGCATAGCACTTGTTGGTATTGAGCAATGGCTACAAACAGCGGGTTGCAGATAACGGGTTGTTGGCAGTTAGACAACATTAGGGCCACATAGAATTCTAACGTTTGAGGATTGAATTATCGGTTTTATCAGCCTCAACTCTTGGAGTTTTATGTTGGTATGGCTTACGCATGTCATAATTTCTCCAGGAACGTCTCAAACAGGAGACAGAGGCATGAACGGGATGTATATTTTGGCGATGGAGATAAATGCTTAAGCTTGACCAGGAGTTTTCACTCTCGGAATTTCACCTTACAGAGCAAAGATATCTTGCGGGTAAAGGTTTTTAAAGTGTAGCCAAGAGTGACGCCCAAAGATCTTAGATCCTCCGAAGCCGAAGCCGAAGCCGACACCCTTGTATGCGGCCTGCTGCCAGGATGATGAATGCTGATGTTCACATTGTTGTCCATACTATCCCATTTTAGGGCTCAAATTGGTTGGTGAATAGGGTCTAGTCTTTAAAATTGTAGGTAAAAATACATGGCCTTCCATTCTTGATCATTCCCAATCGAAGTACAGGGATATGCAGATCAAGCACTTGCTCGGTGATGGGCGGAGGAATGGCTCTCGGAAGTACGTCTCGGCGCTCGCACATTCTATGTGTTAACCTTGCAGCACCCGCATTTTAAAAATCTGATTATATTAGGATCTCTTATCCCTAGGACTCGTCTCGGTTGAGTCGAGAGACCTCAAATCTGACATGCCGTTACCGAAAATGTCCTCCAAGGCAGCCCCAACGAGCGACATCGAAGCCGGCAGCAATTGCGAGGCTTTGGAAAATGTAAGAAAACGTTCAAAGCAAAACTGGCATGCCCTATCAAAATTCGTGAACCGTCTATCCCAGCCACAGCCTCGCTAACTTCACTATCATGTAGGTTACATGGGATGGGCCCGAGGATCCTAACAATCCTTACAATTGGCCGGAATCTCGCAAAATCGCTGTTGGAATTGTCTGCTCCGTGAGCCAGCTTGTCACAACCATGTCAGCCAGCATGATTGTCCCAGCCCTCGATAGAATCCTCGAAGACGTGGGTCTCGGCCCTTCAACTGGCCAAATCGCGTTTTCTGTTTTCTTTCTCGGCCTGGGGTTCGCCCCTTTTGTTGTGGCTCCCCTGGCCGAGGTATTCGGTCGGAAACCTGTATGGTTGGCTGGGAACATCTTCTACGTCTTTTGGAACGCAATGTGTCCGGTCGGACATTCGCCAGCATTGATGATCATAGGCAGACTTCTGTCTGGATCTGGTGCCAGCGTGGGTATAACTGTGAGTTCCCTGAGCATAGCAACAAATGAGCAATGATTGAGGGTCTAACCCGGTTGACTGTAGCTTACGGGCCCAGTACTTGCCGATATGTACCAGGCCAAAGATAGAGGCAAAGCCGTGGCTATTGCTGGCCTGCTTCCTTACCTTGGACCTGCGCTTGGTCCCATTATCGGTGGGGTTGCTTCCCAGCATCTCTGGTGGCCATGGCTATTTTGGATACTCAGTATCTTTGATATGGCAGGTTTGATCATTGGATATTTCGTAATCCATGAATCGTATGCTCCAGTCCTTCTTCGGCGAAGACTAGAGGCCACGCTTGCTGAAACTTCCAAATCGCCCAACGATTGGAAGACAAGCCTTCATAAAACCTGGGACATGATTCCATCCCGGCTGGGCCCTGCATTGCGCATCCCAATTAAGCTGCTTATCCTTCATCCTTCGATACAGATCATCGCCTTCGGAACGGCTCTTGTCTTCGGCGTTTACACGCTTGTTCTTTCCACATTTGCCCAACTTTTCCAGCAGGCCTATCATCAATCTTCAACTACCGCTAGTTTGCACTACATCGCCATTGCGATGGGAGCGTTTGCATGCGCTCAAGCAGGAGGGCCCTTGATGGATCTTATTTGGCGCCGCATGAAAGCAAGGCGACCAGATACAGAACCCACACCAGAGTATCGTGTCCCATACATGCTTTTCGGGATCATCCCTGGAGTGGCAGGCTTGTTTTGCTACGCATGGGCAGCAGAAAGGGTCATGCATTGGGTTGTTGTAGATATAGGGGCTGGGGTCTTTACATGCGGGAGCTTCATGTTCTCGCAGGGCTTGCTGGCCTACCTCCTCGATGAATTCAACAACACACAGTCGGCAAGTGCAAATGCAGCGAGTCGTGTTGGGACTTATGTTCTTGGCTTCGTATTCCCTATTTTTGCACCGGAGCTATATTCTTCCATGGGATATGGCTGGGGTACTAGTCTGTTGGGTATTCTGCTAGGGGTGTTTGGAGTTCTTACTATTTTGTTGCTTCAACTAAAGGGGGAAAAACTCAGATCAAGAGGGAGGGAAAAGGTCCAAGGCACGGTAAACTGATGCAGTGAGCAACTAGGTAGCTAGTAATCTTCGAAGTGGCTTGCAGCAGCTGCATCAAATATAGATTAGAAGATACATGGAGAGCATAAGCAAGGCTTTCAGACAAGCCTGAGCACCTGCTATTATTATTCAAGTATCCCCGGTAGTTGGCCTTGAACATATCTTTTCCGGGTACTTCAAGGAGAAGGGTGTATGAAGCAAGATGTAGACATCGTATCTGAGAGCATCTTTATCTATCTTTTTATCGGTAATAAATGGCCACTCGTTGCGTGATTTTGATTAATTAAACAGTAGGCGATTAAAGCCCCGGTTCAGGGGAGGTCGGCAAGGCCTCCTACTCACCGCCAGCCTGCATTCTCTCGTAAGTTTGTGAGTCAGGGCCAGCTATCATCGCCAGATTTAATCATTTTTCTAGGTTTTATTAAAGGTGCAATTTAGGTGTTACATTCCACTTGCGGTCTCAATCGGGGCGGATGCATAGCGACCTTCGGAGGCCATCATGCTCGGAATAAGGCTCCTGAAGCTTGCGAGGGAGAAATCAAAATATCAACCATGCTCCTCCACTAAGACATTCAAACTTACATTAATATACAAAAAAATATTCACTAATAAGCACCGCCCCGAGTATCATTGATCATGCATCCGTGGTTCCCATTGTGTTGCTCTGATAGTAAGCACAGGATTAGCGTGAGCTTATCGCCAAGAGCCAAGTAGATCTTTGGCTTTCAGGTGGAGCGATGGCATTAATGAAAGGCTGCAAAACATTCACACCGGTGCCAGCTAGACTCAAATCAGCGTTGAGATGATCCTTGGAGAGAGCCAGCTCATTGTGGAAGTCGCCGGTATGTGCCGCTTGGTGGCGCAGGACGGGCCTGATTCGAGCAAAGGAGAATCAAATGAGGCAAGCACCGCCAAGCTAAGAGGAAGCCGTCATGCTGATCAAGATGCGTTTTCAGGGCTAGCAATGCCTGGTTTGTAGCTGAAGCGGGTTAAAAATAATTCCTTGCCGTCCACGTCAAGCCGGGGCTGGAATTAGGTGTGGCGCCATGCAGGAGAATGTGTAAGATTGATTAAAACAGACAGGAAGAACCTTGGGCCTCATTTCAGCGGAGGGAAAGGCGAATCTGTAAGTTTGAAAAAAACAACCACACACGGAGTTGGAGTTGCCGTCACCTTGACCTTCTCCCCACTTTTCAGCTATTTACGGGATATTGATGAGGGTTGTTATGCAGTTGGTTCCCAAAGTACCCTTCTTAGCATACACCTTGCTACTGTTGGTCTCTCGCTGGCCCTGCAGCGCGCATTAGCACGGCATGGCAGTCTTGATCGCGCCTTTGGTTCAGATTAAGTTGGCTCTTTGGAGGATGCCGTTGGTGATCAGGACAGACTCTGGTTTTTCAGCGATAACCATATAGGGCTGAGCGAGGGATTGCACTCATCAAGTTAGTCGGTAGATCTGTCGCAGGGCATCGCCACTGTCGCGAGAATCCTGGGTAAATTATGGCATGGCCACCCTTTGGCATTATCCCGGACGACAGCGGCAGGGGTCTTCGCCACTAGTTCGCTACAGGCAGGAGGTGCACTTTTTGATACTCGAAACATCTCGGGGACTGCCTTAAGGTGTGCGCCAAAGTGCAATCCTACGGCAACTCAAGCTGTCAGCCCAGGTTTTGACAGACCGGCTGGCCTCCACAATGCCGCCTGCCAGACGACCGTCCGAGCATGGGGTTTGAGAAGCCAAGACTAAGTGCTTATGAATAGCACACAACCTTAATATCAAACGCTATGAGCATTCCGTTAGGTACCTATATATAAGGGTGTTTCTCCTCCTAGAAAGGAGATCTTTGCTCGACATCACTCGATCAAAAACCGCCAAAACGCCAATATCCATCCAGAGCTGGTCTCTTTCGCTTCTCTTTTGCCCTTTTTATCACATTATTGCTGGTCAATAAATTTTCCCTTCTCGTCTATTACAGTCTTTATTCAGAATGGTCTCCTTCAAGCAACTTTCTGTTCCCACTGTTGTCTTGCTCGGCCTCGCTGAGCGAGCTGCGGCAGCTCCTTACCCTGCCATGGCCGACATCGACGTCCGCGATGCCAACGGGCCTCTCGACTCCGTGAGCCTCGATCTTCTCGCCCGAGCTCTGTATGAAGATGAGTCCAATGTCGAGCTTGTCGCCCGAGCTCTGCACGACCAGGATATGGACCTCGACCTTGTCGTACGAGCCATGTTTGACGAAAACATCGACCTTGAGACCCGAGCCGGCATCCTCAGCGCCCTCAAGGCAGTCCCCAAAGCTTTCAAGGGCATCTCCAAAATCAAGAATGTCCTGCCTGGGTCCAAGACGCTTAAGAAGGCGGTCACCGCTGGCGTGAAGGCCAAGAACGGCGTCAAGAAGGTGGCCAACAAGGTGGCCAACAGCAAGCACAAGGGCAAGACTTTTGATCGTGTTCTCTCCACTACCAACACTGCCATGGCTGTTGCCAACACGAAGAAGGCTCTTTCGCCCTCTAAGAAGAAGGCCGAGCCCAAGAAGAAGGCCGCACCCAAGAAGAAGGCTGCTCCCAAGAAGGCCGCTCCTAAGAAGAAGGCCGCACCCAAGAAGGCCGCACCTAAGAAGGCTGCCGCCAAGAAGGCTGCTCCCAAAAAGGCCGCAGCTAAGAAGGGCAAGAAGCACTAAAGCATGCAAAGACGAGTGTTCCTACTTGTGAGCTACAGATTGTATAGAATAATGCTAGACCGGAATGAATAAAGAATAATATTGGCGTCACTTTTCAAGTACCAATTGATATCAATCCATGCACTCCGTGAGCCAGAAATCATCCTCTAATGGAGTAGAATTGAAGTTTATTGTTCCTCCATATAACGAACATGACTTGTTTCAGTAAATCATACAACTTTGTCACTACCTCGAATTGACTTACTAGATAGGATCATAAACCGTCAATTCCTCAACTAACACGCCTCCGAGGGGCGGGGGGTGGGGTGTTTGTTACACTCGTGGCGATAAATGACATAAGCAATTCAATATTTCCGTCTCAAGTAACGGTCGTAAATCTTGACGCTACATGCCTTTTAGCAAGTTCATCGACTTCCATTGTGTTGGGAAAGAATAAATCATATATGCGCAGCTAGGTGCAAAAGAAATCATTAACACTTTGATCTCATTGGACCTTACAAGTTTATTTGGTTTATCTGCTTGAACTTGTAATTATTAAAGCATTAATCAACGAAACGAGTTGTCTGTTAAGAATGGGAATAGTGGAAAGACTAGCTGATAAAAGAAGAAATAAATTGCTGCTGTAAGAAATAATTAATCTAAACCGTGTAGGGTAAGTGGCCCCAAGCTGAACATACTCTTTCGTCTGCCAAAATCTCTCTGAATAAGATACCTTGAGAGTTTTTGAGAATTGAAAACTTATAACCTGTCATTTTTTGTCTTTAACAGGAAATACGATACTGGTTCTAGACGCATCAGTCCAAATATCAAGTTGTCAAGGCTCTTTCTGAAGCCAGACGGAGCATATTGTGTGTACATATACCAGTCGTGAGGCAGGAAGTCGATACAGAAAGAGAAACTAAGCCTATGATCGTTTCGCGGCTAACAAAGGAATTCAACGTCATTGGAGAAATCAGAACTTCGGGGACCCTAGAACAGGTGGTATTGGCCATGTCATTTCCACAGACTATCGCATCAACCAGTCTGCATTCTCTTGCCTCTGCCAGGCGGCGTTGTATATCGACCGCGCCTGCGAGTATGTAAAGATTAAAGGCGACTTGGATGCTAATATGGTTGCAGGGATCATGTCCTTTTCAGGAGAATTGGAAGACTTCTATTCACTCATCGAAGAGAAGGAAACCGATAACAGTGTGGTAATAACCTCGCATGGTGCAAAAAGTCTCGCAAACTCAGCATTATTTCTAGTTCTCAACAGATTAGCTTGCCCAGAAACTGTATCCCCCGAGTCTAACTACCACATTGGAGGCGGCGCGAAGAATCCTGTGGAAGCCAGCGTGCTTGGGCGAGCTGTGGAAATTATCGAGCAGGCAAGCAATAAATTTCATATCAGGGCTTGCCAGATGGAACAACATATGTGTAATCTCCCCCCGAAGGATGTCTCTACTCTTCTCAGCACATTTTCCCCATTTTCACTGGATGCAATATATATCTCTGCCGTTACCCTCCTCTGGCTGTGGTTGGAAAGCGGGGATGAAAGTCATCGCACGAAAGCCTATGAGATTGAGACACACCTCGAACGCATAGGGCAACGCTGGGGGCTGGCAAAAGCATACAGTAGGCTGGTCCGGGATTATGTTTCCCTGTTTGAGCCCTACGATTAGATTGAGTTGATTTGCCAATGGAATGAGGCGAATGCGTTTGATAATACAAACGATAGTCTTTGTATGAAGCCTAAATGTAGAAGATTTGGCAATATATCAACATTGAAGCCTTTGAGCTTGAGCAATCTCATTTAAAACTCTACATGAGTTAGACAAAACGCAAATGAAATAGGATAGAAGCCTAACCGTTCTGAATCGAAATCGAATTGAGATGAGAATGAAAGACTCCAATATCACTCGGCGCCAAGGCTCATTCTATCTATGGAGATAAGAAACTAGTCAAATTGGCCAGTGGTGACTGGCATATTCTCCTCTGTTAGAATATATTCGTTTGGTATTTTTTGAAGCTAAACAGTACACCGAAACCAAGCCGCCTTTCAATGGTGAGTATATTTATACCACGCGCCCTTGGTTCTCACCGCAAAGCTGCTTGAGGATCCGCAGTGTTTCAGATTGTGTATCGAAATTCTGAGCTGTCGTTGATAACGTATTCGCCACGATCGGCTTTCCTATTTCGATGTTGGAATAGCAGGGTGAGCACTACTGTCAAAACAACACCAAGCGCAATAGAACTTTATAACAAATTAGCTCGATCAATAGTAATTGGCATCCGGCGTTGACAGGAGAAACGACAATGCTTCAGCCGTCAGTGCACTGGGAATGCGGCTTACACAAGACAAGCAATTATTCCAGGCCGGTAGAGGGGAGAATCTTGGCTTCTGAACACAAGACTTCCAGAAATACCTCCAATTCCACCAAATGCCGTAAGAGTAGCGGAGCAAAACGCGCGTTTCCATTGCCCTCGAATATTATTTGCCTGTTTAGATAATGGAAACAAGACATCAGCATGATTGATAAACTGCAGCGAGCAGCGTGTGAGACGAACCTGGTAGGCCATGATCGCGGGGATATTGGCATTCACTCCAGCCACGGCAATGAAAATGCCAAAATACTTTACTGCAGCGCTGGGGTGAAATGCCATGATGGGTAGACCGATGAGGCTGATAAGCGAATTAACATATATGATTAGTGCTCGCTTCTTATATCGATCGCCTGCCCACGACCCTGCGTACATAACGAAAGCGGAGAAGACGTATGGGGGCGAACCGAGACACTGCGATGCTGCTACGCTAAACTTGAGGTTCTGTCTCAAGACAATGGGGAGAAAGAAAGCGAAGGAGTATGAGACTGTGGTGGTCAGGCTATAAATTAATTGAGTAGCGTTAGCTTCAGTGTTCGTTCAAATTGCGGAAGAGAAGCGAGTAGAATCGAAAAGGGAAACGCGTCAGTATATTCCTTACAAGAATAGGAGTGCGAACCCCCAAATCTCAATCTCTTTCGCCGGCTTCAGGAAAGACACAAGTGAGAATGGTTCAAGTTGGGTATCGCCGCGGTCCTCGTTAAGCCTTTCCAGTACGGCTTTGGCCTCGTCTTGTTTCAGGAACAGAGGGGATGGGCTATGGACTTCTTGGTCAGGGAACTTGACAAGAACGATGAAAGCAAAAATGCCGACCGCGCAGGTCAAGATTCCCTCGAGGACAAAGATCCTAATGCGCAGACAGCAAATATCATTAGTCCCAATAAACTGATATATGCCACAACTTAGAAGGATGGAGACGGAATGTTTTTAGTATCTCACCATCGCCAACCTCGCAGGCCCCCATGGCCCTCAAGCTGCATCAGCCCATAAGCAAGGATTCCAGACAATGCAGACAGAATACTGCCTGTTAAGTAAAAAACAGAGTATCTCTTGGCGATCTCGACTATGGGTTATTTGGTCAGTCAAAGGTAATTCCAATGTGGGTAGGAAGGCTCATACATCTTGTGTACCATGTGGACAGGAGATACACCGCACCAGGAAAGAAACCAGCTTCAAACGTCCCTAGTATAACACGAAGAGGGACCATTACTCTCCAGTCGTGGACGAACCCAAACCCGATAATAACGGCGCCCCAGGCAATACAAATGCTAGAGAGGAAGACCTTGGGCCCAAGCTTACGACAAAGGACGGTCATAGCTGGCTGAAAGATGACGTAGGAGACGAAGAACATCAACGTGATTGTGCTATACCCGTACCCAGTATTAAGCTTGAGATCATCAAGCATTCCTGCTATAGCTGCATTCGAAACATTCTTCCGATCCATGAGCGATATGCCGTACATTAGACCCAAGGCAGGGATCAGACGAAGATCCGCCCGCCGGCGAATACGCCTCATCTCCTTTTGCGTGAATTCTCGAACATATTCAGGCTTTTGGGTATCATCTAAGGTATTATTCTTGTCTTCTGTTGGGTTAGGTTCGACTTTCTCATTGTGGCTGAAGTCGGGCCGTTCTTTTTCGTGAGAGGAGGACATATTAAGAAGAATGAAACGGTAATGCAAGCCAAATTTGAGACCAAGGACCAGAAGTAGGCTTGGTCGTGATGTAGCATTTGCAACGATACTGCAAGCGTATTCATACAACTAGGACTGACCTTGCCGATCGCCGGGTGAAGAATTCCGACTCAGACGCATGATAACGTACTCCCTGCAACTCTTAGTATCTTGCAAACAATTGGAAGAATTTTCATTGGACCGGAACGTTTCAATTCACCCTAGAATGATATCAGACGACCAAAGACTGTTGTATTCTCCATGGGGGCGTGGAGTCTGCCCAGAACCCCCTCTTGAGAAAGTGCGGGGTTGGCTAAATACAGGGTTGCGAGACGCCTCGGATGTATTCTAGCTTATGGGTATTAAGCTTAATTAGATTATCTTTTCCGGATTCGAAGATCCTTCATCTACTTGGAAGGTGTCTCGGGTTATTCAGACCCCGTAGGAGGAGTTATGTAGCAGGCAATAATTCTAAACGCAGTCCTGATTTCTCAAAATTGCAGGATTTAAAATGTGGAGTACACTCAGTTCTGGGTCCCAGAAATGTTGGAAAGCGTGAGCATATTAAAAGCTTGATCAGTAACGACGATACCCATGTATCATGGCTTGGCTAACACCAGATGTGATGCATGGTTTGGTTGCTTGAGTCCTGAGTTTTGAACCTTCCGGGCCACCTTTTGGGAGCGCCTGTAGCAGAGGCAGACTCAATGGTCACCATGCTGTATTTGGTCCAGAGGTCAAAGAAAGGGGCCTGACTGATATCCCTTTGACGTACGAGCCAGCGGTTTTGCGGCAAACAGAACACCCTGTGTATCTTACGATCCCGGCTGGCCGCGAAATGGGAAAAGTTTCGATGAAAAGGTCAAACTTAAAGGCTGTGCTGGATCTACGGTAATGGTTCCTGGTAGTCGGATCGATGAGGCAATGAGGAGAGGAGGCGTTTTTGGCATCCGCCAGCGATTCTCCTAGTGGTTCAGCAAAGCATTGTTGGACTACTGCTCCCAATGACGTGAAGAGTTGGGATGTAGGTAACTCGCTGATTTTTCAGATCGCGTTTTGTGTGTGGCTTGCACCCTGAAGGCGCCGATTTATTCTGCGTCCATTATCGACTCACTGGCCACCGACTTAAAACTTGAGGAGGATGTCGCGTTTGGATAGCAAGGCAGAAATGAATGAACGAGTGACGCCAACTGTGTGCGTTGATAAAACGTAATTATAGAGTGTTTCATTCTCACCATTTTATTTGAATAGGACGAGACAGCCAAGAGCTTTGGATGGCAACCTGCGCGTTGGTGTAACAATTCAACAGTTCAGAGTCTGCTCTCCTTCTGAGGATGGGAAGGGCGAGTGTTGCGTCCGATCTAGCAACAATAGGACTCCCAGACTGGCAATCTTGATCGAGATGGCCCCGCATCAAGAGCCCGAAAAACGGTATAGTTTCTAGAAATACGTGATCAGAAATCTAGGCATCTTTCATTTAAAGGTTACTAGGAATAGGTGGTTCCTATAGACTGTCCATTGTAAACCACTTGAAGTAAGGTCAACCTCTAAGTCGCAAAGTTGAAAGGCCTGACTAGAGGAAAGCAGAGTGTTCATGAAGTCACCAACGGCAGTCTGAAATCATGCATTCTCAATGTTTTAAATTTACGTCACGTTCATTGTCTCTGAGATACGATTCATAAAAAATACGATCGAATCAGACCAGCCCACTAGCTACAAGGTCTTTGTAACCACAACACATAGTCCCAACTTTATCGTGACTATTAGTAACTCAAGCCATGCCCAAATCTGAAAACAGGATTGACGGTGTCAAAAGGAACATCCTCCATTTGCGCTTCCACCGCAGCATTAGATCTTGGCAGATCAAAAGGTAGTTTGCCTTCCGGCTTCGCATCGCCGAACAACACATCCACGAATGCCTCGTCTGCGCTTCCAAAACTTGCCAACACAGCTGCTGCCTGTTCTATAACCTCGGGGACAGCAACAGGACGATTAACGTAGATGTCAACAATGGTTGGAACAGCAGCATAGATGGCCGCTTGCCTGGCCTTTTCACTGTCAGAGTACTCGAGGGTCCCGCCTCTAAAACCAAACACGGCATCCAAGGTGCCATTGCGTGGGTCATATGGAGACGCGAGACGAAGAAGTGCAACATCCGCATCATTGACTGAGTCAACGCTGACAAGGCGCTCATCTTGAAGCTGCGTAAGGTTCAATCCCTCGGTATATACCTTAATCTTGTCCCCGAAGTTGCGGAGGGGCAAAATCTTATCGCGGTTACTGAGCAAGGTATATGAACGGCGTTGAATCTCCTTGCCGAGATTTTTGAATTCAACATTTCCAGTGACTTCTTCAGCATCGTCTGGGTTGACGAAAGGATTATCAAAAAGGCCAAGAAGAAATTTCTCTTTGAGGAGCTTCCTGACTGAAATATCAAGTCGTGACTCAGGGATAATACCCTCACGGACGAGCTGGATCAGTAGCTCGGTGCGTGTTTCGCCGCCAAATTGATCACATCCGGCATCAAGAATCTTCGCGGCCCGCTCCAACTCGCTTTTGTCTTCCATTCCCCAAGCGCGCGCCGGGAAGTCCAGGCCACCCAGCTCGCCATCCGTGATAAGTCCCCAGTCGGTCACAACAATGCCGTCAAATCCAAGCTTGCCCCGCAAAAGCTCGGTGACAATCTGTCTGTTGAAGCTGAATCCGACCTCTTCAAATTGAGTGTTGATAGGCCTAGAATAATAAGGCATGATCTGTCTTGCACCCGCAGCTAATGCGGCTTTGAAGGGAAGAAGATGATAGTCAAAGTTGTTCCCTGGATACGTCTCGTTCTTGCCGGTTGGGAAGTGAGAGTCTTCGCCGTTTTCCATCGACCCGCCTCCTGGGAAGTGTTTGGTCACAGTCGTGACCGAACTGCGTCCAATTTGCTTTCCCTGGAATCCTTTGATGTAGGCACTGATAAGACTACTCGTTAAATGAGCATCCTCGCCCCAAGTTCCATAAATTCGTGCCCATCGAGGCTCAGTGGCCAAATCAACTTGTGGATGCAGAGCACCACGGAAACCAACACTGATGTACTCTTGTCGAGCAATGTCTGCAAATTTGTATACAAGCTCCGAGTCTCGAAGAGCTGCAAATCCAAGAGTGTCAGGCCAGAGAGAGAATTGCCCTGCACCAACTGTAGCTCCACGTGCCGTTGAATAGTGATGGCGTGGATCAGTGGTCAAAGTGATTGGTATTCCGAGACGCGTATCAAGTGCCTTTTTTTGAAGAAGGTTATGCCATTGAGCAAACTTTTTGGCGTCCTCCACCAAGCCGCCGAAGTTGAAGTGTGTCATCAGTTTCTCCACGACAACAACATCAGTTCCGTTTGATGAAGAAGAGCCAGGAAAGAGAGTATAGTTCTCTCCCATCTGCAAACTGTTCTGGAACATCTGACCGGCCTTATCTTCTACAGTCATGCGCTGAAGAAGATCTTCCACTCTGCTGTCGACACAAACAGAAGCATTTCGATACAGTGGTAAAGGTGTAGCTTGTGATCTAACATCAAACAAGCTATCCTGTGCCTCAGAGGCAGAACATGCTGAGTACGGCAGGAAAGCTGCACCTAGAACAACTGCAAAAGGCAACATTTTGTAGGAAGGAAATGCTTAGCCGGGAACTATGTTGAGAGAGGAAGCTTCCTTGGAGCAAGCATTTTCCTTCCAGTTATATACACGCACAAGCCAAATAGAAGACGATGATAATTGCAACTAAAACCTGCCTACTCTCCCCACTACCCACGACGAGCTCCGCATTACGGCCGCGAAACTAGACGATGTCCTCATAAATCTCCACCATGAGGAAGGGTGATGATGGGATCCAGCTCTGGTTTGGGCCATCGATGGCTAAATCTCGGTGACCAAAGCCAGTTATATGGCGGTGGCTCAATACATGACCAATGCCGTCTGCGGCAGATAATAGGCTATATTGTCAATCCCACCCTAAAATAACGTTCCCCGCGTTCATGACCATGTGATGCAGGCCTCAAAATCGGCCCGTCCATGCTATGACATATCATTCTCCACTAGGGACACATTTTCAGTGTAGCGTGAGTTGACATTGATGGGGACGGAGTTTTCGAGCATGAGCATCTTCATCTTCACCGACGCGACCTGACTCGGAGAAATGAAAGTGAAAAGAGTAAACAAGCCGGCAAAATCTCCAATCATGAGAGAATTAGTAATTGAGGCTAGCTAGTTCATAAAACTGCATCTACCGCTTTTTTGTTACCATTGAGCAGTAATTAGTTGATATTCTACCATATGGAGGAAATGCCGCATGGGCGAAGATCGGCGAAGTAACCTCGGCTTTTGTGCATCTGCATATCCCAACCAGAGTGCCGGGATTTAGCAAGCTCTTCCTCTGCCAGGGATCTAGGGATTAAATTGTAATCAACGCTCATTTTTACCGCACTATTACTCGAATGGGAAGATGCAATGATGTGAAGTATCCTCACAGATGTCGCGCCAGTCGCCCCAGCTCAGCCCACTCCTTACTACCTTACCATGAGTACCAATTGATAGTTAATACAATATGCATTGTGTGGAGCTGGCAAGTCATACCGCCTCATCCACCCTTTCTAATGTAGATTCGCGTTGATAGCGTGGGATACATAATACCCCTAGATTACATGGTTGGAGCAAAACGAAGCTACTGAGGCTCAATGCTGACATTTGGGCTGATATTAGCTCATCAGGGAGGAGAATGTTACAGATAAGCAGTTACGGTAGCTAAATCATGGACGTATTTCTTTTTCAGATAGTATTCAGTATAAAATGTCAAATCTTCACCACATTCATGATGTAGGTATTGATAGTGAAGATATCCCAGTGCTATGTGCTCTACTTGACCCTTCCCAGAAATTCCTAATATTTAGAGTCGCAGGAGAATTCTTTTTTAACTCGGATTCCATTGAGTGGAAAGTCATCGGCATGTTCATCCATCACTGTACCTTTTTCCGCATAACTTATCGTTTTGTTTTGGTGCCCTTGTATGTTCTCCAAATACTCAGCATCGGACACTCCTCGTCGTGGTACTCCAGATGCTGGCCCTGCTACTGAATCCTCAGAAAGAGAGACCGCTTCATCTGACAGTCTATCAAACGTATTTCTGCTATCCGGCTCGCCTGTGTTCACAGTGCCGCGATTTCTATCATCGAATCGGCCGCTCTTGTAGGAAGTAAGCTCGTGAGATCGAGAGCCAGTACCAGACCTATTAAATCGGGTGGTGTGTATGCCAATTAGACCTCCTAAATAGACAATAACGGGAAGAAGAGTGGGCAGGTTTGCTGAGACGATGCCTGCGGACATCTCGATGGTTGTCCATCCGACAGTAGGGGCGAGAGTGTAGGTTGGGTCAAGATTGCTATACGTGAATAGAACGCTCGTGCGGTAGGCAGATGCGAAAATGACGCTTTTAAATCATATTCTATTAGTAATTTTCCTCTGTCAAATGGAAAAATGTGTCTGGGGCTGAGATGAGTCAACATACAAAAATCCAAGGCCAAATGCCAATGTAAGGCCTATCTTGGCTGTGCTTCTGAGTTGGAGCACCCAAATTTGCCGGATGGGTAGTAAGAGGATTAACAAGTCTGTCAGAATGGTTGACGCTGCGTTGGCAATCCAGGTTCCTACTTGATCGATACAGCGCCCGGGGAGGTCAGGGTACCAAAGTTTTTCAACCGGGACACAGATGAATATGAACAGGAATGTCACGCAGATAACCCAGGCTATGACAAAAGACCCGATGATCCAGGTCATCCGTTTGAAAAATGGGATGCGGAATACTCTGTAATACATGAGGAGAACAGCCAGCTTGGTCCAGCCCAGGTTCCAGGCGTAGAAAACTTCGGCGGCGACCAGCCACTTGGCCAGAAGGACTATTTTGCTTGGGTTGACCAAGTCAGCATGGATGCCCATTCCCTGGGCGTTCATAGTAAAAGCACACCCGATGCAAACCATATACCAGGCCTGATCCTCAAGTTAGACGATAGGCAGAACCATCAGCACATAAATAAAAACGGTGCACTATACCATGGAGAATATAATCATCCAATCATCCCACCACAGGCTCTGTTTTGTCAGACGTCGAGCCGCGAGCCGGAGAGCCACAGATAAGAAGGCCAGGAGAGTAACAGAGATCAAAGTCCCCAATGTCCATGGCTGGATGTTGTATGGATGAAAGCCCGGTAATCCTGGAAGTTTGGATGTTGAGGGGTCTACATCTTCGCCCGCCATTTCCAAAAAATACAATGTGGGAACGATTTCCAGTCCAGGTTCACTGACAGCTTGATCCTGTTCACACAAACTTCATTGCGCTGGTTTGCTGTCTTATACGTTCTTGGGAGCTTAGCATAAGAAACCCAAATATGCTCCCCTTATCCCAGCATCGCAGTGATCTACCGTCCCGGATTTTTTAGTGCCAACGACACATTTTTACTAGTGTTTTACTAGTGACGAACTCATTTCGGAGTCTGGAGTGAAAACGATTCCGCCAACATTTTGTCCAAGCCAACACCTTACACCTAGCTCGCTCTATATTACCCCTTTGGAAATTAAATGACATGGAGATCACAGTGCATTTGACAGCGCCCAACTCTTATTGCGTGACGTTTGCGGCCTCCAAATAAATTAAGAAACAGAATCATCAGTAGACTCTTTAGACATAATTAGCGGTCTTGAAAAGCTTCGAAATTGAAGGCTTGAGGTTGTGCAGCGTTGTAGTATAATATCTCACATGTAATCACGTGAGTAAGATTTCTGCACAAGTCAGACTACAGGCAAAAAGAAAGGAAGAAGAAACAGAGCTCCAGGTGATGGCTTAGTCAAAAGAGTGGTGGAAGTGCCATGACTCAAGAGGCAGCCCGTAGGCAGCCCGTTGGTAGGCAGCCCGTTGGTTGGCAGCCCGTTGGTAGGTGAGACAATGCGACGGCCAGAATGGGCTGACTTCGGTGGACCAAGACCAGAAGTCCCCAAGGCTGCGTCCAGATTGATCGGATCTGGAGGCTCTGGCTCCCCAAATGGGTATTATTTGAGGCTATGGGAGACGGAAGTCAACCAACGACATAATGCAACTAGGACCCATATCAGCATGCAATGAAACCCGGGCTATTCTAACGCCGCCGTATATAACCCCAAATTGGAAGGCTGCATGACTAGTGCTGCACTGGTATTATTAGAAGCGAAATTGTTAGAAGATGCGTGTAGAAAGGGCAGTGCCTCAGTCCTACGCGAGAATCTGCGGGCAGACAGTATACCTTCATGGTTTGGTTGTGTACGAGTGTACGTCTAGCGATTTCACAATTCTTATCCGAGTTATTTACGGTGGTTATGAGGATCCTTTAACGGTGGCGTTAGAATGGCCCATGGAACACTACCTGGAATGATGATCACAACTTACTTTACTCCACTGTAAGCTGCAGACAACAGACATGCAGACAACAGACATGCAGCCGAGATGCAGCACTGCCCACTTTCGCTACTTGCCAGTCGCCTAACGCCGAGACGCTCTCTGCCAAGAATGTGAGTCCGGACTTTCACAGCCTTACTACCAACAAGTTTAAAAGACGCGTGTGCTACGTACGTTATTTCAAAGTACCTAAGCTGTCTTACCCCCCAAGTCTGATTTTCTTCCATTCTTTCTGCTTTTCTCTCTTGTTTCAAAGTACCTAAATTATCTTCCCCCCAAAAACTAAGTTTTCTTCCATACTTTCTGCTTTCCTCTCTTGATACCCCCAAACAGACAAAGTCCCTTTCACCATGGCTGCCGCTACTACTATCAAAGTTCCTCACTTGGGAGGAATCACTGCAGGCTACCGCTTGTCAGGTGGTGTCGTCGACCCAAGAAAACCAACATTGGTACTGATCAACTCTATGTGCACTACATCCGCCCTTTTCGAGTCCCAATTCAGCAGCAAGGCTCTCACCGACGCCTTGAATCTCCTCGCGATTGAGCCCCTTGGCCATGGGGCGACAAGCTGCCCCTCCGAGCACTTCACTTATTGGGACACCGCCATTATGGCGCTCCAGGTCATGGATGCCCTGAAGATCAACAAGGCATTTGCCCTCGGTACTAGCCAGGGAGGCTGGATGGTCGTCCGTATGGCACTGCTCGCTCCAGAAAGGGTAAGTTCCCAGCCATTCTCTCATTGAAACATGCGCCTTTCCAGTTTAGTTTGGTGACCGAGACTTGTTGACACGTCCAACGCCACCTTAGATCCTCGGCCTCCTACCCTTGGGTACATCCATGGACTACGAGTCGGCTGCCTCACGTGAAAAGGGATGTTGGGATCCCAAGACTTCACTCAAAGGCTTCATTGAATCTTGGACGAGTACTGAGCCCACCCCTGATTTCGTAGTCGATGAGGCTTTGGCACAGAGCGTCTCAATGCTCGGATTCTCCGGAGCTGCCAGTCCTAAGACAATGGCTTTTTGGAATGAGACAATCAAAAGTGTGTATAGTGGTGACAACGGCCGAAAGAAGGTCCGCATGGCCACTCTTAATCTCTGTCACCGTGATGGGCTCCTCACGCGTCTTGGAGATGTCAAATGCCCGGTGTATTGGCTTCAGGTACATCTTTTCCAACCCAACTTGAACGCAATCACATTTCTGACTGAAGACTAACTCGCTTTTAGGGACCCGATGACCCGGTGTATGGCAAGATCGTTCCAAACGAGCATATCAAGCTATTCACATCCTCGCCTGAGGCTACGATAACTTTTGTTGAAGGTGGCGGCCACTTCTTGAATGCAACAAGCCCCAAAGAGACTGAGGAAGCTATTTTGAAGATGGTTAAAAAATACTCATCCCAGGAGTCTCTAGAGCAGGATTACGCCTGGAATCTTTTGCAGAGATCCCACCGCATCTAGCACGTTGATGTAGTGATTACTCAATGCACAACCATTCAAACTTATGTAGCAATGCCCAATTCCATCTGACCTTTTTTCAAGAAGTCGTCTCATCCGAGGTAGCATATACCGAGATCAGTTTTGTCCAGAGCACACTGGTAAATGAAACCTTAAGTAATACCCCTACTGTTAAATCACAAGACACCCAACTGTATAGTCCGCTGTGAGTTAGATTACCATACCTAGGTTGTATCAACATTGACTAAGAACGCACAACTGTACTGCAAAAAGCTCCACACGAGAATAGGGGCCCGGGTCTTTGTGATGCCCAGTCACCTCATGCGCTTGATCTTGCTTCTAGCTTCAACACATTAACGAAGAGCAATCACATGGTTAATGAGACCGCGGGCCTCTGTTTAGGGTAGCATACAATTATGACGAGTCACGTTTCTTTTTCCTATGACGTGAGGGCGAATGAAGCCTCATTTCCAGGGGTTCCACAGAAGAGGAGAGGCGACATGGTTATTCTCCCCCGCATCCGTTCCTACATTACCTGACATTGCGATAAATTTGTCGACCAAAGTAAGGAGCAATCGCAATGGCCTCAACATGCCAAGACCGTATTCTGAGCGCTCCCGCACATCACGTTAAGGCGACCCTCGCATTTCTATGCAAGGATAGCGAGGTGGAGAAACTCACCCTTGCACGTCTCGACGCGTTGGCCAGAATGGAGAAGGCCGCGACCGAAGCACCCGGCAACAAGCGAAAGGCCACTGAGGAGTTAGCCGTCTGTGTCCAGTGTGAAGCCCCCTTTTACAAGGACGAGAATCACATTGGCGCTTGCTCGTACCACCCGGGTTAGTCTACCGTGCTTTTTCTCTTGCTCCTACCCCTCTCCTGTCTGTGGGATTCTGGCTGTCTGGAACATATGACTGACCTGAGCAGGCGAGATGGAAGTGGATGATGACAACGACTTTTGGGCGGACCATGATGAGAATATCCATGGCACTATAGACTCTGACTGGGCGCGAAAGGAATACCCCGGGGGCTTCATATGGTCATGTTGCGAGAAGAATGCTGAAGGGGCTCCTGGCTGTACAACGGGTCGCCATGAGGCTGATCCACAAAAGGCGTGGAAAGACGGCAGTGAAGAAGAGGAGGCTTAAACATATGGGTGAAACGTGTGGCGAAGGGCACAAATTTGGATTGCGCCATTATATACGTGTCGATGGTGCTGATTTATTAGCTCTACTCTCAGTTATTATGGCCACTCATCCTGTACATCAAGAGTGTATTCAACGTAGGGCATCATCATCTTACATGTGACTATTTCTTTTGAGGATGGTAATAGAAAAATCCCGAATTCACTAAAGGTAGGGATGATATGAAGATCATATCACGGTGATGGATTTATAAAGTAAGATGGAGCTTCTGCTAAGCATCTAGGGACAGAATAAAGCATCATTACTCATTTCGTCTGCCATTTTTCATTTATTCGACGCAACTTTGAGGTTTGCAAAATCCAATTCTAGTCCGCATGTGTGTATAACAGCTCACCAAAGTCCGTTTGCATCTCGGGGAAGCAATCAAGCATCGACATGGAGTCTGGATTGTGGTTGCCTAGATAAGAACTCCCGCAAAAGTCCATAGACATGTCCGGTCCAAGGTAAGGAAACGCGGCAATGTAGCTGTTCGCGGTAGCGGCGTTAATGTGGAAGTCCACCTCTGCCACGCCTTGGGACTGAGAATGGCCCGAGAGGCTCATACCACTGCTAGATGGGTATCGATTGAGTCCCTTGACAATAATTTGCAGGCTGCGTTCCAAGAGCGGGCAGGTTTTCATTCCCGCGTTGAGCGCACGGAGATATGTTTTCAGCGTTTGGCTCGCAGGTCCTTTATTGCGTTTGGCATCTTCTAAAATGGCGGATGCGCCAGTGTAGATGCAGTAGCCCATCAGGTAAGCGATGTTCTCCAACCCAAACGTTGACTCGAGTAAGAGTACAAGTGCTTCAATGCTTTGTGATGCACTGATGCAAACCTTGTAGTAGGATGGGATAGACCAAAACGGTCGGTGAGTTAATATTACAGTTGTAAAGTAGAGAAAGCTGTTTGTTCATATAAGCGAGATCCAATGTAGAAAATGATGGCCTCGGGGAATCCTTACTTTTGGGATATAATATGTGGTGGTGGACAGACGGTAGGAAGATTATGGGGGTCGTACTTGAGGTGGCGTGGCGAATTTTCTCGCCATGAATCGAGGCGTGACTTGATATCCTTGATAGTTTCTTCGGCATTGGTTCGATTCCGGCGATAGTAAAGCTGAGCTATGATGTCGTGGATAATCATGGAAAGCTTACACGAGTTGACAAAAGTCGATACGTCGTAGTTACGCATGGGCGGGTACTGATTTTGCGTAAACTTGGTGAGGTTGAGAGAGTTCCCATAATATGGCGACCATATATCTAGATCGGTGGAATCATCCACTGAGGAAACAGTCAGCTAGAGAGACTCAAGCAGAGAGCACAACACGTACGGAGGTCGAGAGTGTCAGGATGGAGGACTTCAGTGACAGCAGGCAACCGACCGGCATACAGACTGGTAGCTCTGGCGATGATGGTCAGCTTGAGCAAGACACGTTGAAGCAAGTACGACAGAGGCTTACTTGACCCAAAAATAGCAACTCCAGAAGAGCCTGCGCCGAACTTCGAGATCAATTACTCCCATGCCTCTCAGATCCGGCCCGCTATGTTGAAGCCCCAGGTCGCTGGCCATGCGAAAGGCGATGCCGCTATACACCCAGGCTTTGGAAATGGATCCCTGTGCAAGATCTCTAGCACTTAGTTGTAGGAGGGCCTGCACCGTGGGGATCGAGCTCGGCTGCTGAATTGCGTTGCCCAGGAGGCGACGAGCCCGGGCAAGCAGCATGTCCGCGTATTCGCCATCCTGGTATTTGGCAGCGTGTGAGCAGATAGCAGTAAGGAGGAGCTCGGAATAGTAGCGTCCTCCAGTAGCCATATCTCCTACCCACGGATACACATCGTTAGCCAACTGCACAGTCAATATCTCCCTTCCGGCCCCTTCCCGAGACGAATACGTCTCCGACAAGGGACCCTTTATTCACATGGATATGTGCTGGAGCTGCTGTGGAGAGTGTTGGTGGATAATCGGCGAAAGGCCGCGGTCTCCTCCCGTATTACGCATCTGGGCCAAGAATTTGCGCCCATAGGCTTGGTAACTAACTCTCGCGCCCTCGGCATTAGGGAGAAGTTCATCTCGCCCTCGGCCCAACTCCATTGACTTTGGTTGTCGCAGCCGCGCCACGGCCGACAAGATCTTCCCCGCTCTGAGACGCCAGGGTGTTCTCATATTGTAGAATAAGCACACTCTTCAGAAAGCTGTACCATGGTACATTAGCCTAGAGCAGAAAAATGCATAGCGGGTTGGATGGCTGGTTTACGACGCATGGAAACCCGATACCCTCGAAATCCTTCAGATTCACAATCCTATGCGTAGACGTATATGTGACATCGGCATCGAAATACACCTCTATAGAAACGCTAGTACTACTAAGTGTACCAGTCTTCAGAATCCCTACAGCCACAACTAACAACTCACTTCGCTCTCGGATCAAGATGAGCAATAACATCTTCACCAGACCCGGTCGAGATATCTCAACTGATTCTGGTTTCCTTCTAACATAGAGGGTTGATCTGAGGCCGTTACAGTTACTGTCACATAATGCAACTCGTACATATAGAAGAACAACAAATAGCCTGCAACAATGCATAGGAATATCCGGATTTTTTGCATTATCTACTTTGTCTAGTTCGAAACACCCGTGTTCTTCGCTGCCAAATCATCCGCCTTCAAAGCAGGCCTATCAGCATTTCCGGCAGTAGTCTACTAAGCTATTAGCACTTCCGTCATCGTTTTAGAGTCTCGCACTAGGTTCAACTTACACCACCATCAACAGGCATGATTAAGCCAGTGATCCACCCTGTTTCTTTGCTGGAGAGAAATAAGATTGCTGACAAGACTGTTAACAAACCTCGCTTCAACAAGTGGGCAAAGGAATTTAACAAACCGTAGCCAACATCCCAGCCAGTGCCTTCTTTCTTCATTAGGTTTTGGTTAATTCTGGCTTGTCTCATTTCGTCTGTCATGCCTCGCCCACGTGTCATGGGCATATAAACCATGCCAGGCGCCACACAGTTTACTCGAATGTTTTCCTGTCCATGATGAGCGGCCATTGCGCGAGTCATCTGAATGATGGCGTCTTTCGTGATACGATAAAGCAGACTTGGATTGCCACCGAGGACTGCGTTTCTCAATTAGCTCTGGCTAAGTACGGGGGTCATATTGAAAGAGAACGCTTACGTCCGCTGACGGAGGACATGTTCACGATGGAACCGCGTCCGGCCTTGCGCATCTCGGGCATTGCGTATCGACTCACAAGAACCATACTAGTAACATTGATGCGGAAATCTCTTTCCCATGCTTCCATGTTGATCTTGGTCGCGTCTCCTATAGCGCCACCGACACCAACTACCCAACAAAGTTAGAAATCGCTCATAAACCCAAGGTTCAATGAGCATCTACAATCATGAATAGGTATCAGGCCAGCTCACCAATATTGACAAGGGTATGGAGTCCACCAAAGAGCTCAACTGTCTTGTTCACAGCGTTCTGGCAGGAGGCTTCGTCTGTGACATCAGCCTGAATGACTTCCGACACTCCGCCCTCTTCATCGATCATTCGTTTTGTCTCATTTGCCCAGTCAACGTTGAAATCGACCAAAGCAACCTTGGCTCCCTGTCGAGCTAAAAGAATAGCGGCAGCACGGCCGTTGCCAATCTCCCCTTCTCAGAGTCAGCACAATAACTCCTACAAGAGGGGGGCCAAACATCTCACCATCCATCCGCGACCATGCACCAGTCACTAGAGCCACATCACCTGAGAAGTCGAAAGCCTTTGGCGGAGTCATGATGCTTAGATGATTTTCAGTCGTTCTAGTTGATTCAACGAACTGTCAGGCTTCAGCGAGCACGAAAACAAGGGTTCGATAGATTTATTAAATCAGTGCAAAGTCGTAGATGCTTTTCAGACAAATAATGTAAGCATATCTCTGCCCTGACCCTGCTTAAAATGATTTATATTCCATTTTATATCTCATTATTAACGTACTTTCGCTAGGTGGATGGACGGTGGTGGCGAATCTGTGTTCGGTGTGGAGCATCGGTGAAAGTGCACGGGAAATACCCGTGGAGAACGAGTAGGTGAGGAGACTCATAGATCGCCAGACCGAGAGGAATATTAGCCATAGCAACTTCTAAAAAGCCGGCAATTAGACTCTTGTCTACCACATATATTAAACAACTGCGACTCAAGCAGATGATACGTTACAGTTCAGTTGGGCTCGATTACAACCCATCTTTCTTGCTTCACCTACCCTATACTTGCTCAACAGACACGTTAAAGCAAATTTATCCTGTTAACAAGCCATATTGATAAACCATACGTGGAATGTTATCTCAAATTCAATAAACGGATGTTTTGTTTCATAAATTTGTAGTATAATCATATCGGAGAACCCGTGTTTTAATATATGTCGAGCGATTAGGTATTATTATAGATTGGTGAGACGGGCCCTGCTGCAGACTTGAATAATTAAACTGGTCGACTAGAGCAAAGGTCTAGGGTAGGTCACTAGAACAACTGAACACGTGACATTAGAGGGCGAGGTTCTTGGCTTGTGCGTTTTGTAACCAACTCCTTTCCACATTAATTAGGTATTCAAGTATCATTCTAACAGCCGCGGCAAATGAAGGAGTAGGCTCATGCGGACTTCCAATGTAACTGTGTGGGCCATTCCCTACGACAGCTACTCATCTTCCGTCGGTGCCCTCGGATGCAAGGTCAACACTAGAACCAGACCCAACTTTGGCTCACTGAAGTTGTGTGTCTGAGGACTACAGAGGAGGATACTCATCTCCGATCTGGAAATATTCAACAGTGGACACCTCACGCATCTGGACTTGATCGGCGTTGATGACTCTGCCCCAAGAGCGGTTATGTGATTTAGCAATTTTTTAGGCCGTTCCTAAATCCTAATCATAATTATGGTTGAAACTGTAATTACCCCTGACGACGTAGGATGCTGGTCATTTCTGTCACCGATCAGCACACCTTTTAAGCTTTTATTTTACTAGGTAGATGGTAGATTTTCTACCCCAAGTGTTTCCCTTTCTCTTCGCGATCATTTATTAGAATGTAATCTTCATTATTGTAAGCTGGAGTGCTGGGTCCCGCTTTCTATTGACTAGACGCGCGCGCGAGAGAAGCTGAGAGCGTGAGGGAGATTTGACACCAGATACGAGGCGCAAGACTGGAGGGGCTTTGAAAGGCCGGTTTCCCGGTGTGGCCACTAAACTAAATGAGGGCGCTCAGCCTGAAACGGGCTCAGCTGTGATGACTGGCGCGATGTGATGTTGGTGCTTGACGTGGCACGTCACATCATTGTCCCGCTTGCCAATAGTTTACCGTTTCCACGCACAGTTTGATGAAATGGCTATTAAAATGATGCGTTGTGGTATTGATTTGTGATATTGAGACGAGCTACGACCCTGTAAGCGTACTGCAACGAGAGAGCCGTGTTTCCCGGGGATACGGGGGCAGACTGGGCCATTTTGCGACGACAACAGGATAGAGAATCGAGGATAGGGGATATGTATAAAGCTATTTGGTGATATATCATTCTGCACTGCGGTGTACCAGCTTTTATGTGTAACTGCCCCGGCCGGAGGGGGAGGGGAGTCTGTATGTCCTCAACCAGTCGCACCCACTTACCGCTCCAATTCTTCACTTGGCGATCGCAATTCTCCTGAGAAAGCAGATCGTCGCCACCGACTGACTCCTGGTCCGTCCTAGGCTCTCTTGGCTTTTAGCCCTGCCAGGCACCGCGACGGACAGCCCAAACAATAATGGGCTGAATCGAGGCTGCGCTATTGCCCCTGTCTAGACTTGATCTAGTTAATTAGAAGCCCAACAGATCCCCCGCCTGCCGAACTACCGTGATGGTTGCTTGCCGGACTACCGGTAGGCCAGGAACACGGTCAGAAACAACGTCCACATGGACACCTAGACTCTTCCAGCGTCTCTCAAGTTGCCAACCGATCCCCACGCTACTGGCGCTGCCGCTGATGAGCGCTCTAGATTTGCACTTGTGGCTGATTCGGTCTTCTTCAAGCTGCCCCTGATGACGACGCCGGCTGGATGTTAGCCGATTAGCCGTTCAATGCTCAGACTATTGAGTGGCCACCGAACGCTTTGTGGGTGGGATACCAGCGAGTGTTGCCTACCATGAGAAGAAAAGGGAAAAGAAGAAAAAAACCATCGGATTTTTCACACTACACACCATGCCCGAGCAAACCGGTAGTAGGGGGGTGTGCCTATATCCCGTAGCTCGGAGAAATCCACTGTTCAGGCTCGCTACTCCCTCATATTCTGCCAAGAACCCTCGTTCTTTTGCTCTCGTTAATTTTCTTCCTTCCTTCCTCACGTCGGTGCGCGTGTTCATTCGTTTATCCAGTCTTCGCATTGCGTGAAGACGGCCCTGTTCAAGGAGGTAGACAGAGATTACATTCGTTTACATTCATTCATTCCGAGCCATCTCTTATTGGCCTCTCGCTTGTTTATTTGAGCTCGATTTGATTTACCCTTCCCGCCCCCGGCCCCTAATCCATCGATAGAGTTTTGATCGGAACTATAGTAGAGAACATATACTCGATGCGATATCTCAGCATTGCCGTAGCGGCCCTCGGGCTGCTGACGGTTGGCGAGGCCAAGAAGTGTAAACCGAGGCCGAGTACCACCTTGGCCAGCAACACTCCTACTTCCGCTGCCACGCCAACTAGCACACCCGGACCCGATGCTCCAGACTATTACATCGACAACCCGAACTTCTCACTCGGCTTGGCGTACTACACTCCCAGTGGAAATGTTAGTTGGGTTGGTGATGATGGCTATGATGGCGACGGTTCTTCCAAGGATGGTACTGCCCAACTGACGACGAATGGAAATGACGATGACAACACCGATGCCTCACCTGTTCAGAAGCGTGATCTTGCCGGCACCTCCATTTCTGCTACTGTCAAGAACCTCGTTGCCAGCTCGCCTTACACCATCTCATTCCACTACCTTGTTCTTACTGCCAAGCCCGATAATAGCTGCCGCCTGAGGGCCTACTTTAATGGAAACAACTTCGGGAATACTGATCGATTCCCCCTCACTCAGAAGCCTAGCGCTAGTTGGAGCCTCTTGAGCGGTACAGTGATTCCTAGCTCTACTACTGGTACTTTCACGATCTCTCTCAGCTGCAACGCCCCTGGTTTCGCTGTCGCCTACATTGATAGCCTCCGCGTCGTCAAGGGCGCTGCCGTTGTGAGCTCTACCACCGCTCAGGCTTCTTCTTCCAGCTCGAGCGTTGTGGCCAGTTTGAGCACTCCCGTCTCTTCCAGCACAGGCGCTGCTGTCTCTTCCGCCACCCCAGTGTCTTCGCCCGCAAGCAGCAGCCAGGCCAGCTCCACCACTCCCGGTTCTGCTTCGAACACTCCTTCATCAAGCAGCACTGGTAGCAGCGCCGACTCCACCACGCCTGCTGCTTCTCCAAGTTCGGCTGCACCCAGCAGCAGCACTCCTGATGCCTCAAGCACTACCCCTGGCTCCTTGAGCTCGAGTGCTGCCAGCAGCAGCTCCCCTGTTTCTTCAGCCAACACTCCTTCAAGCACTCCCGCCGCCTCGAGCACCGATGCTTCAAGCACACCGGTCTCTTCAAGCGCTGCCTCTCCTACCACGCCGGTCGATTCAAGCACTGCTTCTAGCACTCCAGACGCTTCAAGCGCTGCTTCTTCTAACACACCGGTCGCTTCAAGCACTGCCTCATCAAGTACTCCATCAAGCAGCGTTGCCAGCACTCCTTCAAGTGCTCCAGGTTCTTCAAGCACTCCGGTCGCTTCGAGTGCTACCCCTTCAAGCACTTCGGCTTCTTCTACCACTCCTTCCAGTGCTTCCTCCAGTACTGCAGCCTCTTCAAGCACTCCGGTCGCTTCGAGTGCTACTCCTTCAAGCACCTCTGTCGCTTCCAGCACCACGCCTTCAAGTACCTCGGCCGCTTCTAGTACTACGCCCTCAAGCACTTCGGTTGCTTCCAGCACCACACCTTCAAGCACCTCGGTCGCTTCCAGTACCACCCCCTCCAGCACTCCTTCCAGCACTTCTTCAAGCGCTTCGTCAAGCTCTGCGTCTTCCACTACTCCTGTTTCGACAGCTAGCTCGACGTCTACCCCCAGCGCTACTCCTACCAGCTCAACCTTACCCTCCGCTACTGTTGATAGCACGGTTCTCATTCTTGCTAAGGACGCCGCTACTGCTAAACTGGCCAGCGATGGTCTCAACGCCTACGGAATTCCTTACCAGAGCTTCATCGTTGCCCAAGCTGGCTCTACTCTCCCTGTGCTCAACTCCTCTCTTACATCAGGCAACTATGGAGGTATCATCGTTATGAGCTCCGTCGCATATAACTATGGCGGCACTACAGGCTGGCAAAGCGCTATCACCACTGACCAATGGACTGCTCTCAACAACTATCAGCTCAGCTTCAATGTCCGCATGGTCCGTATTGATGAGTACCCCGGTGCCTCCTTTGGCACTACCCCAGGTGCTGACGGAGGCTGCTGCACGTCTCCCGTCACCCAAAATATCTCCTTCTCCGACACCAGCGACTTCCCCACTGCCCAGCTCAAGGCCAATGTTAAAGTGGGAACTGACGGTCTTTACCACGTTCCTGCTACCATTACCGATAGTTCGACTACGAAGGCCGTCGCTGTGTTTACACCGGACAGTGGCAGCACGGTCGGTGGTGTCGCCGCCGTCATCAACAACTTTAACGGCCGTGAGCAGTTTGTCTGGTTCATCAGCTGGGCTACCGACTGGTCTCCGACATCCAACTGGCTTCAACACGCACATATTCACTGGATGACTCGTGGTGTCTTTGTTGGCAAGCGCAAGGTTCACTTGAGCGACCAGATCGATGATATGCAGCTGTCTACCGAGATGTTTTATCCTACGAATATCCCCGAGGTGAAGATTGGAATTACAGACCTGGAGGCTCATGTTGACTGGCAAACGAGTATCAACTCTCGACTACCTGCTGGTTCTGACTTCTGGCTCGAAATCGGGCACAATGGTAATGGCGATATCATCAACTCGACCTTGACAGACGATGATATGAACACCAACAAGTGTAATCCTCCTGACGCCGTTTACTGGGACCAAGTTGGAGCCCCTAACGAGTGGAGGAAGCCTCTCGGCACCGGTGAGGATGTTTGGCCCACCGGTACCAAGTACGAGACATTTTCTTGGTCGTTGGCATGCGCCAAGATCGACCAGTTTGCTCTTTGGTTTACGAAATCGGCCAATTTGAACCACTTTGCCCACCTTTCGCACACGTTTAGTCACATGAGCCTGAATAACGCCACATATCACGATGCGAAGCGGGAGATTCAGTTCAACCAGGCCTGGATGAAGCTAATGGGAATCGATTCGGCCACTAGATTCACTGCCAATGGAATTATCCCCCCGGCCATCACTGGGCTAAACAACGGAGACTCCATCCAGGCTTTGATGGATAACGGTATCAAGCACGTCGTCGGTGACAATACTCGGCCCGCAACCCGCAACCCTAACAGCGTCTACTGGCCTCTCATCAGTACCTACGCTACTAATGGTTATGACGGGCTTACTATCATCCCCCGGTTTTCCTCTCGAATTTACTTCAATTGCCATACACCTGAATGCACGACTCGGGAGTGGATCCAGACGTCTGCCGGAAGTGGCGACTTCAACACCCTACTGGCCCTCGAAAAGTCTTCTTCTACCCGCAACTTGCTAGCGCTTCAATCTGATCCTTATATGTTCCATCAGGCTAATATGTATACGACTGGCAATGACATCAGGACTATTGGAGACCAGACTCGTCGTATGTCTCTCGTTATGGCCTGGACTGAGACCGTCGTTCAGGAGATGATTCGCCTTACCAACTGGCCGATTACCAGTCAAACTCAGGACCAAATGGCTACGTACTTCCTCAACCGTATGGCCCTTGATGCTTGCAGCCCGAAGATGAGCTACGTTTGGAGCAATGACGGAAAGACCCTCCAGAAGGTGGTTGTTACCGCCAACGGAAACACCTGCTCCACTCCTATCCCGGTTACTATTCCCAAGGGTAGTGTCACGGCATCCGGAGGAAGTGTTACGTCTGACATTGTTGGTGCCGAGCCTCCTATCCAGTGGGTTACGCTCAACGGCTCTCCAGTCACCCTGACTCTGAGCAATGCTGTCACCACGACTACCACCACAAGCTCATAAGCGGAGTAATTCTTGAGGATTCACGTCATGGTTCCGCAATGAACGGGATGGGTTAATGTATAGTTTCAAAAATTACTCAGACAGACCCCTTTTTCCTTTCTATCTAATTTTTATCGCATTGATGAGATTGGACCATTGTCTTTGCTATCACAGGCCATTCGTATTTCAATTAATATCTTGGAGTTGATGAGATTACTTAAAAGTCCTTATTTGAGTTTTGACAGGAAATCGAGCCTAAACTTTGCCCTTTACCTTGTATCTTCCACTCCTTCGACACTTCCCATGCTTTTGATATGTTGTTGAAAACTTTGACGGAAAATATGAGGCCACCCCTCTCATGTGTTATTTCCGAAATCCTCTGGTCCAATAACCCGGGTAGGCGCTTGCTCGAGGTAGAAGTCCTCCCGTCACGCGTCAAGGAATATGTTGAGCTATCATAGCCTGTTTTATTTATCGTACCTCATTGGAGAAAAACTTAAGAAGAGCCCACCTTGGTCAAGGTACTGCAAATTCCTTAAACGGATTCCTTCGCCGCCTGGATAACATGTTCTGCGAACTCCTCAGGGTGAGTGATATAAGGATAGTGCATGCCCGGTAATTGTTTCAAGGTAGCGCCAATCTTGGTTGCGGTGGTGACGTTATCCGCGAACGTCTCTTTTGGTGTATCAGCCCCGATCGACCAATACAAGGGTTTCTTCTTTAGAGCCTCTATATTGTGAACGGGCGAACTGGATGGGATGGTCTCTGGGTAGCCACGAGCCCACAGCGGGAAGTTGTACCGAAGTCGGGCGTGACACTCATCCCCCAGAGCAGCCCACTTGGCAGGGTCGCCAAGCTTGCCGGCCTTCATGCTGCCAGAGAGGAGTTCGCGAATGTCTTCATCGGGCAGGGAAGCCAGCATGGTCATCCGCGGCATGCGGTAGGTGGGAACCTCGTGCACCATCGCACTTCTAACCCGTTCCGGGTGATCGACCAAGATGGCCAGGACTGCCGAGCCGCCTGAGCTTGACCCCCAGAAGCTTGCTTCCTTGATTTCAAGGGCATCTAGAAGGGAAATGATATATGTTGCTAGCTTCTGAGCTGTGACATATTTATACGTCGAAGGCGGCGCCTTGGAAGACCGGGACAGGCCGGGCATGTCGAAGGTGGTGACCCGGAATCCTTGAGAGGCAATCTGCTGCATCGGCTTGTCGAACATGTGGCAATCGCCGTAGCCCTCAGGCACTAGGACAATATCGGGGCCCGACCCTTCCTGCTCATAGTACCAGGTGATGCCATTTGCGGTGGTCAGCGTATTGTGAGTGCGCATCGTGGAATGGTGGTCTTGAAGGATTGGTAATTGAGGTGTTTTTGTAGAAAGGCGGTTCTGGCCCCCTCAGTGAGGCGATCCTCCCAAGAGGTTACACAAAGGACTTCCAGGGTAAGGTAACATCTGACAACACAATGCCGTTGATATCATCCCATGCAATTGCAGACACATTGAATTGTAGTTTTAATCTAAATTAATTCACAGATCCAACCAAGGTTATTTTAGAGACGTTGGAAGGCAAATTGGACATGCTGAAGCTTGTGCATTTGATGCGCCGTACCTTAAACAGATGTGGCGGCCACGGCGCTCTAAGCCGTCGACAGAGGGCCGAAGCCGAGAGGGCTCTTGATTCTTAAGCGAATACAATCTAGGAGTGAGGTATGAGAGGATTATACACGCAGCTTATCTAACAGATCACAGACAAGTGGTCACGTCAACCAATTAGACATCCTCGGATGCTTCAGCCCGTAACACTCTGTTTGGGACCCGAGTAGATATTCTTTCGGTGCCTAGATGACAGACATCTAAAGAGTTTCCGGAAGAAATTTCCTGTCTACGAAGATAAGAGGGATAGCGACATCATTAGAGAATGTCCATATCAGGACCTATCTTCTGAGGATGGGGATATAAGAATGTGCTTGGGACATATCAGAATGCAAGCGAGTTATTTTTCATAGATGCCCGTCTTCGTCAAATTCGATGCAAGCCTAAGTTTGAAAAATACCACCGGTACTATGAGGAAAGAACAAGAAAAGAACAGTTTTTGGTTGGTGTTGAATCGCAAGTTGGGACGGATACATTGCCGGGAAAGCAGCTACAAGAATGCTCTAGGTAACAGCTATTCCCAATTTCGTATTGTAAGAGGTGAGAACAGCATAACAAACCATTTTTCAATTACACCACTATATTACAGTTTGGAAAATCCACAGAATACGTGAGGTAAGCACCCAGCAGTTCCTCTTCAACCGCCGCCTCCACCACAGCCGCCAGCACCGCCAGCAACGGTACCAATGCCACCTAGCATCAGCTACGGTCAGCAACAAGTTCCTAAGAATTGAAAACAATCACTTACCAGTGAGTATTCCATGATTCCCCATAGCATTGTTCTATTATCAGATTAGTCTTGCATCTTGATTCGACAATGGAAAAAGGAGAGAGTCGTACACCCCACTGCACACAACCACCAGGCCCGCCACAGCCCCCTGCTGCAATGTCATTCTGTCCGCAGGCGCCCATTGCACAAGTTGCCCACGCTGGATCTGCCCCGGGGCTGACCATGGAGGCAGGGCTTGACCCGCTGTACATGCTCTCCGATAAAAATGTTGGTGCTGACTGCGGGCCGTATATGAAATATTTCCTGCCCCAGTGGTTGTAGTACTCGCCCTTCGATGGTAACTTGCGCCCCTTCTTGCTAGCACGCTTCACAGCCCTGTCATATGATTCGTCTAGTTTGAGTTCCCACGCTTTGCGAATATACTCCCCGATATAGGCTCTTGTGGGAGGTTGCTCGCTTGCATTGTGGGCGGATATGTGGGCTGTCCCCTCACTGGGAGGGGGTGATTGAGCATTCTGAAAGTCATATATAGCTATGATTGATGAGTATCAGCGGTTCTTGACCGACGTTGATGAATGATAGCTTACCTTTTTGCACCTTATTCTTTCCGACGTTAAACAGACTGGGCCCTTTTGGAAAGCTGTTCTTGTGATGAATAGCTGCATAGGTTTAGCCTCTTCCCCTTCATTTCTGACCCGTTCACATGTGAGACCGTCTTCATACCTTCACAAAATCCACACGCACACTCGGAGTACACCTCTCCAAACTTGGCAAGATATGTAGCACTGGTCCTCTCGAATGACCTGGCCAGAGTGCTCTCCTCTACTTTGTCGTTGTGATCAACAAACTTGGGTTTTCGGAGTGCCAGTTTCCCCGAGTGAGTCGTAGTAGATTTGTAGTATGCCCGTGGAGCCAGCTGATGTGTATGCCAAACCAGGTCGACATCCAAAGTTGGAACACATAAATGCATCGAGTCATCGTGCATAATCAGGAGGAATCTTTGATACTTTTGGCAAAATCGGTCCATGCTCTGTCGGAGGACAGGAGAGAACAGCCAATTCAGCTAGCGCAAATCATTAACCAGAAGTCCAGCGTTGCTAACAAATTTGGCAAACATACCCGGACGGCCTTTTCAATAAATGTTCCTTGTCGCATGACTGCTGCCACAAGGTCCAAGGCAAAAACGGAGTGGTTCTCCCAGTATCTAGACATCATTTTCCGAATCTGTACCGTTTCGGGACTCTTTAGCCGTGGGCGCGGCCCGTTACCTGGGCTCGCAGAAGCAGCGGCCTGAGCATTGGGATCTCGAATACTCGAGACGCCCTGTTCTGTGGAAAGAATTTTGGAGAATAGATCTTTTATAGTTAGCATGCTAGGTAAGTTCCCCATCGTGTGATTAATAAAGTCATCCAGCTGAGATTCCAATGCTTGCTTAGCAAGGTGGTTAGGGAGAATGACATCAGCTATCTGGTCGGGAGTTGGAGGCATGCCACTCTCTGGATGGAGAACAGATCCGGGCATAGTGATATCATTCTCAACATAATTTTTAGTATCCTGAATCAGCTTGGAAACAGAGAGTAGCGATTTGGTGACAACTACTCCGCACTCGGTGCAAGTTTGTTTAAAGTCACCGTCGCCATAACCATTGCCAGTCAAACCGGGATCGCTAAGAAATCGAGTCAGTACATAGCAAGTTATATCTGAAGTAGATGATTGCGGAACTTGCGTACGCGACTCCTTTATAAGTCTCAGGTAGACCACACGTTGTCCAGGCCACGTCGTTTGGCTGTTTGCAAGCTGGACAGTCTACAATCTTTGTCGTAGAGCCGAGGTCATTTTCCCATTTTACACCCGTCAGCGTTTCCCAGTTCATTCTGCACTTAGATGAAGGCGAATGCACCATTTTGGGATCGAGAGCTTTGTTGAGGACAGCCCACGGCATGCCAGTGGTCCAGAGCTCTCTTTGACCCCAGAGCATAGCATCTTCAAGATAGCAGCGCGGATTCAGCATATGTGTATGCCAAACCATCAAAACGTCTACTCAAGGTGTTAGACCCAGGCACTTCAAGTAAAAGTGATAAGAAATGGGAACTATAATTCAACAGACCTAAGGGAGGCAGCTGATCTTCCGTCCACAAATAGTCTGTAGTGCCATTTGGAAATCCGATCCATCGGGGGGAGTCTTTGCTGTGTACTTCCTTTGCCATCAGTCGATCCCCAGCGATGGCCTGCCACCACAGCTGATAACGATCGACGGCCCTCGCTACATAAAGGGCCCATCGTTTCTCTCGTAGATGGGATAGTTTCGTCTTAATGTCTGCAATCTGGGCCTCATTCAACTCACCATCCTCGAGGGCACCGACCGGCCCGGCGCGAGCATCCCATAAATTCCAGAGACCATCGTGGTATCCAATCTCTTCTTTCAGATTCTGAATAGCATGAATGAAACGCAGATGAGCGATGCAGGTGTCCACGTCTGGATCCTTCTGCGTCTCCAATCTGAGATTCGCAAACGAGGCCATCAGTGAAGTGAGTTGGTCCGTTGGCGATGTACCTTGGGCTGGTGCTGTCGCTGCATCAAACGAGGGGGGTGCATCCTGACTATGGCCTGATTTATCATACGTCGGCGGAGGAGTAGAGGCGCGTTCATCTAATGACCCCAAATTAATATTATGTTCCTTTGATTTGGACTTTTCAGGTGATTGCTTAGGTTGAGTACCATTTTCTCCATCCTCCTCATGACTGGCTTTATTTTTCTTCTTACTGAAGAAGGAGGGCATGGCGTTTCAGTCTCTGGCCAGCTTGCTTAACGGCATAGATGATCGTGGAAACTAAGTTCAGAATGCGTGTTAATCAGATTATATAGAGCTGAGTTGTGAGAAGTTACTACCCCAAATAAGACTCCGATAATTGACCCTAATACGGGGCGAGCTGAAAGAAAAGTGGTCATATGCCCTCATTTCTGCATCGTGGCTATGCAACCGGGCAACGGCAACGGCTGATGCGGGGCAACTCGGGCCTTTTAGCAGCATTGTCATTATTTGGCGTATTCCTCACCTACTTATTCCCAACACAGTAACCTTGGTAAACGTCCGTGCCATGGAGTATGTCGATGACGTAGTTATAAGATGGGATTCTTACCAAGGGACTTATGTTAAGGCTTAATGGTAAGATCATTGACCCGGAAAGTTCAACTAATGGATCCGGATCTTCGCCTGAAGTTCCAAGCTCGGGATCCGAAGCTAGAGAAGTGTGATTTGTCCCAATATCTGACGAGCCAATACGAGAATCCGGCCAAGATGATGGAGGATTGTCGTCCCTGCACAAAGGAACAAGCAGATGTTCTCTATATGTCGTTGTCATTTAACTGCCATAGTCTTTGGAAAAATCCAAATTTGTTGCGAAAGAGAGTGATATTTCAACCTAGATAACATACTTGTTTCGTTGCCAAACACCCAGCTGGCGGGCTGTCCTCAGGCTCCTCTGATCATCGAAGATTCGGGCTACTTACCTTACGCCAGCGCCCCCATGGGGTCCCATAGCGGCAAGACTGTCGGCTCTTGCTTCAAAATATCCTTGATAGTCTTGCTCAAAACCCTAGGGTCAATAACCGCCTGATAAACAAACTCATCCATCCAGGCATCGCTCATAACAAACCAGCCCTTGTCGCCAGCGGTGGTTCCCCAGCTATTCTGTACCCTCCATCGGACTGGCTTGCCCGTCTTTTCATCAAGATGGACCGCCGTCAAAACCATGGCGTGGGTCATCTGACTCTCGCCTGTCATCAAGCGCTGCGCCTTCGTCATGCCCAGCAAGCTCGTGTTGAATCCCAGATCATAATCAAACAGGTCCAAATCCATGATTCCAGAGGTGGAGTCACTAAACTTGCCAACGTCGCTGCCAAAGAAGATGGGGAGGCCTGCCTTCAGCATCTTGATGCAAGCAGACTTGAGCGTGCCAATATCGACATTGACATAACTGATGGCACGTCCGCCCACAATGTTTCCTAGCCTGTCAACAGTGAGGAGAGTGTTGGGGCGATGACGAGGGTCGTGGACTAGGGAAATCATTCCTTCGATGGCCGCAGAGTTGATGCGCAGCTCAGAGCTGGAAATGTCTCTGGCAAAAGCCTTGGGGGTTGTTTCAAGCTCATGCGACTTGCCGTCCTTGTCCTGGTATTGCCAAGTGAAGGTCTGCTGTGAAGATGGGGGGGGACCGAGCAGCAACGTCAAGATGAGGGTAACCTCCTTCATCATTTCGGCCTTGGCGGAGGAGATAGTTTGGGCTGAGACCCCTTCCGAGCTACGGGCCAGCTGGCGCAACTTGAGAGCGAATTCTCGCAGTTTTGTTTTGAGGATGTTGTTGAGAATACCAGAGTGCATCGCGTTCCAGCTGTCTGGGTAAAGGGACTGGGGAACCAAACCGTACTTATCAACGAGATTGTACACCATATCCCACTGGCCACCATCCGAAACAAGGTCACCAAGAAGTCGCTGGACAAGACGACCCTCAAGGTCCTCTCCAGCCGTATCGATGATCTGTTCAAGGAACCAGTTGGATTTCTCGAGCTTATCCCAGAAGTACAAGTAGGACTGAGAGAGCTCAAAACTTTCAAGGTTATAGCGCTTCATGAGGGCTACGCGAAAGACATTGGTAGAGGCAAAAAGCCAGCATCGCCCACTCGAGCGCTGGTTCGTGATGGGGCCACCCTCAAACGGGATCTTGACATTGTAGATCTGCTGGTCTGCGAGTTCAGTGGGGAGCGAGGTGAGGACCTTCCTTGGGTCCGCGCTGCTGAGAGCGGTGAGTGCAAGTCTGAATAGACGGATAATTGATGTCAGCCAACACGACTCTAAATTACACCTCGGTGCCAACTACTTCATAGCGCCACGTGCGCTATGAGCAGAGGTACGAACCTGTTCTTGGGGTCCTTGAGAGCCTTGTTCTGCCATGACTGCAAGACTTCAATGGAGAGCCCCTCTGCTCGGCGTGAGAGTTGCGAAAATGCAGCTTTCTCAGCATCGTGACCGGCTGGGGCGTTATCGCGGTCCTCAATCTGCATGTTGCCAAGGTGTTCCAGAACTGCCTTCTCATGTGGACTGGAAGGCGTTGACTGTTGGCTGCCCATGATTGATGCCTTGTATGAATGGATGTCAATCAAGGGCTAGATGGACGCAATGGACGAAGTCGCAAGTCGAATGTATTTGAAGGAGATGAATGGACGTGGTCAAGTCCAGGACGGCATTGCGTGAGGCAGATGATGACTGATACCAGCGGGCTGATAAGAACTTGTGGGGACTGAGATGAGAACCCTTATGGCCAAGTCAAGCCGGGAAGGAGGGCAGACGAAGGCACATGACTGGTGTCCGCCTCTTCCTATCAAGCCCAATACGTGTGATGGATGCCCACCTGATAACATGTGCCCCCTGCAGAGGACAACTCATCCTTGTTCATCAACTGCTCCCTCGATTGCGACATCTGACCAGAATATGTTCTAGGCGCTAATCTGGCACTAAATCATCCCCACACTGGTCAGAGCCACTCCACGATCTCAGCTTCTGCATCGCCGCTTACCCTAGACCCATAGCGCAATCCGTGTGAGCCAACAACAAGCAGATGTTCAATCATTTAGCAGCAGATGTGAATCAAGGGCGAGGGCTTTTGTTCTCTAGGACTTATTATAGGCGGTTTTAATCAGATAGAAGGAGATGCAGTCGGTTGGGATCCACAATGACTGAGCAGATACAATCAGCAGTTCACCATAGAAAGTGCGATTAGAAAGAACGTTTAATGGTTTCACCGAAGACCGCCTAAAGAGTTGATACAGATAGGATATATGGTTTTTTTTCACGTTGATAAGCTGCTGTATTCTGTATCCCTAGAAGCCTCTCTGTCATTCTCCATCACATGGCTTTCAAGAGTGGTTTATCAACATGATTGTAAAAGAGTGAGAAAAAGAGAGCAAGCATTTATGGCGCCCACACCGCATTCTGCTTCACTTTGTCCAACAATCGCTGTGTTTCCAGCGAATCCTCAATACTTGCGTATGCATTCTTCTTGCCCTGGGCAAAGGCTTCATAGAGCCTCAAGATGTTGATTCCAGGCGCGGCAATGCGCCCAAAGTACTCTCCCTTTTCCGACTGAAGGTCGATCTCCTCTGTCCCTGCTGCCCACTTCTTGAGAGTAAGCTTTCCTCCGGTCACTCCCATATGGAAGAATCCTGGATCACCGGTGTATACCAGCTCCCCTTCGGTGCCGGAGATGATCCAGCGAGAGCCTACCCCATCAGCCGGAGACTTGTTGGTACGCAATTGGAAAGACGCGGCAGCCCCTCCTCCAAGTACACCTTGAACGAGTATGATGTCAGGTGATGTGATTTGGTATGAAGGGTCTACAACATCGCCTTTGGCATCAAGAAGCCGGGTTGTCTTCTCTTTCGTCTTGAATGTGCTCTGGATGGTAGAAAATGTACCCAAAACAGAGATGAACGCATCGATTTCTGTAATTCAAGTTAACAATAGAATTCTTGCAAGATCCTCTTTTGGTAATAGTTCAACTTACGATGCCCGAAGACAATATTGAGACGGCTGATTCCAGAGTCGAGGTCCAGGGCCCCAGATTGTGCCTTTGGCCAGCCTTCAGAGGCATCGAGTGAAGTGTGGCCAATAAATGTGCTGTAAACGACGTCCCCGATCACCTTGCTTTCAATAAGCTCACGGAGCTTCGCCACTGCTGGGTCGCAACGGCCTTGAGATCCTATAATAGTTCTCACGCCCCTGCTCCTGGCTAACTTTGCAAGCTCGGAAGTCTGAGCCACCGAAGGAGTCGCAGGGAATTCAATAAAAAGGTCTTTATTATACTTCAAGAGGGTCTTGGCCAATGCGTAGTGCTTGTCGAGGTGCACGACAACTGCCACAAGATCAACATTTGGGTCGCTGGCGATGCCCTCCATGGATCCATATGCTTTCACGGTAGAGGAGAGATCATGACTAGCAATTGATTTTAGAGCTGACTCTTCAGAAGAATTACAGACGGCGACGAGCTCGAGGTGGGGTGAGTTGACGATGGCATTCAGGTGTTGGATGCCCCATTCACCGGCATTAAACGGCCCAGTACTGACTGGGCCAAGGCCAACAAGGCCTACTCGGAGGGGGTTCATTGCCAATTGATTGCTCCAAAGTTGATTATACGAAATAGTTGAACAGATTGATTCCTGGCAGATTTTCTCTGCCCGTACCAAGGCACAATATACCCACCACGGCGTGTGCTTCCATTTGTCTTGATTTCAAGATTCTACATATTTAACCCCTCAACTTGGCTGTTTACATCGTTGATCTTTGTTGAAACGATCTGCTACGGCATGATGGAGTGACTGTCGGTAGCCCGCTAACTCCGATGGGTTTGAGATGGGTTGCTGTGGTTGGCTTACATGTCCGATCCATGCTTTAGACCCGCTCGAACTCCGCGATCATGCTTTAACAATCTGCTCACCCCGTCAATCAAAGCCCATTTTATCAGCCTCTATCTTAATTCTCCCGAATCTAGTGGCTGAAGTTCCGGTCTTCGTGGTTAGAAATGCCTATTTCACGGAAAAAGGCCTGCACAAACTGCCGCTCTTCTAAAGCGGGCTGTGATAGGGCGCTTCCTGCGTGTCATCGCTGTGTTGAGAAACAACTCCGATGCATGTATGATGGCCGGAAACGAGACCGCTTCTCGCCTCTAGCTAGGCCATTGCTCCCACGTGTCGCAAAGAGCCATATCCAAGGATCAGCTGCAAACTCATCAGACACATCCGAAAATCCTGCTATAGGCGGTCCAAGACCACCTGCTCAATCGACAGCCGCCTTTCCCATTGAATGGTGGGGGTCAGACGAGTTTGGCAATTCTATCGACTCGACAGCAGAAAAAGGTGCTTCAAATTCTCTTATCCGACTCGAGCCTCCGATAGGGGCGTCTGCATGTAGCATTACTGGGACCCCATCTAGATTCTCCCTGGATGAAACGCTCACTGCACCTGCCTTAGGTATACCTGGCTTGAGTTATTCCACGCCCGATTCCCAGTTGAGCTCAGTTACACAACGCTCGGATTCCCGAAAGCTCAGACAACGATACCCCTTAAGGGATTGTTTGCTGGGTGTTGCTGTCTTAGGCCAGCTCTGCAGCTACCCCAAAATGATGATTGAGGGTTTACAGCTCCCTCCGTTCATCAAGGCGCCTTGCCATCAGAATGAGGAGCTCGCCCCCGGTTGTGTGACGGCGGGGAGACACCAATGCTTCCCAAAAAGACTCGATGCTTGCGCGGGCCTTGTTCAAATGTATTACTCCAGGACCGATGAGAATGTCGATGCCATATGGAGTATGATCTATGCAGAAGTAGCAAAGCTAGCATCAGAGGTTAGAATGGACCCGGAGCTTGAGCAGCTTACGACTTTACAGTGTCCAGTGCCAAATGCCGAAGAAAAGCTTGAGATCATGCAATGCCTCACAATCTTTCTGCTTTTACAGGCCGACGATCCCCAATCATATGAGGCAAATGATATTGACTTCCTGCTGACTGTTGCCATTGTATGTATCCGCTATATGTTTCAAACGTGTTGTTCTTCCTCCTGCTACGTTTTCATTTGCTAATAAGGCATTGATCTTCTTGATTTGAGCCATTATCTAATCCGTTGCATCAGGATACGTACTATGACCTCGCTTTGACTCAAGAATGGCGTTTTGAGCTCCCAAACGTCAGACCGCTGTACCGAGAGTGGATTTTCCGAGAAACCATGAGAAGGTCGCTATAGTATCATGATAAGACGTTTCAATTTTTTCTAACGTTATCATTTGTAGGCTCATGATCATTTACGGTATTTTTGATCTGCTTCTCGAAGGCATCGTTGGCACAGATAAGACTGGCTGCAAGGGTGGAAGTGGGCTGAGCAATGCCTCACTTCCCTGCACTCGGGATATGTGGGAAGCATCTACAGTTCGAACATGGGTGGCTTGTTATCAGAGATATATCTCTTCAAGGCAAAGCGGTGTGATGCTTCTCACTCGGCACATTATGGAGTTGAGGCTCACAGATCCCTTTGCAATTCCACTTGGCGATAGCCCAATATCTGAAATGGTTCACTGGTGTAAAGGAATGGACACATTGGGGAATTTGATCTGGATGGTCCTCCCTTTACAGCAGTACCGAATACGGGATGACACGCGTGCAATTTGGTGATGGAATCATGGAGCCACAAAGCTATGCCATCTGGTGGCGCAGCGTCTCGGCAGACACTCATGCTCAGAACTGGTGCTCAGAACTGGTTTAAATGCCGAGGAATGACATCCCCGTCGGCCACGTGAATAGCAACAATAATTGCGTTCAGCAGCCTATATTCGTCAGCTTAATTAAAGCGTTGTTGGGGCTTTGGGGTGAGAATGCTCGTTCTTTTGGCTTAGTGAATTTAGATTGAAACACTTCTATACTACATGATGTTTGCCCTTCATTCAAAAGCCCTCCCGGTTAGCGATATCGAAGTATCAACAGTAGGTGGGCGATACTCATTCGCTTGTAGGGGAGCTCTTTTACCCGGACAAAAGAATGAAGTTCGCGCTCTCAGCAGCAGCCACCACCATGTTGGTGGTATTCATTTGCGCAAGGCTTCGGTTGCCCCTCAGCAGCCTTGCTCTTGCAGCTCACATGGAATGCCGAGAGTTTCACAAGTCCAGGAATCTCCCTCAAGTGGTGAATTGTGGACTTGAACGCTTCTGTCTCGCGGAATTTCAGGTGCGCTTCAACGCTGGGCCAAGCAATGAAGGACACAAAGGCAACACCAGACTGAGACTCGTCCCCTCGAACAGGAACATCGTTGTCCACACTCCAGCCACAGCTGATACCCCGCCAATCTGGTGACGCCTTGAGCCCGTCAGCGACGAACTCGCCAACGCGCTTCATGGCCGTGGATCGCGAGTCGGCATCATAGTCATGTGGGAAATAGGCTATGAGGACCTCGGTCACGCGAGACCCTTTGCTGTCCAGTACGTCTTCAGGAGAGGAGTATATGTCCACGAGCTTGCTGAAGTCCTTTGCGGTCGACTCAGTATTTCTATATGCGCCAATAACTTTGACGTGAGATGCATACTCCCTACAAGATCGTTAGAACATATTGGGCAACGGGCAAAAATGCTGGCGAGAGGCTTTTATATGATGGGAATTCTGCCATGGGAAATGTTGGAAAATACGCACTCGCTCTTGCGATAATTGTTCCGATGCTCTGAGGTCTCCCAATCGACAAAGAGCCACAGATTCGCAGGGTCTTCAATCTCATGGCTTGTGTAAATGCGTTGCACTCCGGGCTGCTTCAGGGTCTCATCGAGCACACTCGACAAAGCCTTGCCAGCGTCCGAGGACTCGTCTAGAGCATTGATGCCATCTTGGAGGCGAATGCGAGAGAATTCCGTGACATTCTCGACCGGTGCAGCCATTTTTAGGTCTTGAAAAGAATAATGCGGGAATGATTGTTCCAACAGTCTGCGTCTAGCAATGAGTGAGGTGTTGCAAAGAGGATGCGGGGATGGAATGGCCGTTGATGGTGGATTCTAGAATAATCGCCAACTTGTATCGTCTGATCCCCGCTCGACCGAGGCGCCTGAATCGTGTTAAACCTTCTGTAGCGCGCCAACGCAGCCGAGTAGAAAAATAAGCGGCGTTCCAGTTCCTTCGCTCCGTGCTCACCCCGCAACTCTCGTATCCCCCCATCCGCATACTTTACTGGAGATCGACCATTACCCACCAGATTCTAGATCTGGCTAGTGAAGGCTGAGATTGGTTGCATTAACTTGCTATACTGTGGATCTCACTACTTTTCTGTTCGTAATATCCAGGCCACTTCTCTGGATGTGAAAGAAAGAGAAATGAAAGATCAGCACAGGCAAAAACACGAGACCTTCTCGCAGGAGATGAACATTATAGTGTGGAGCTACGAGGTGTTTTTGTAAGATTTTATTTCTCGTCTACTGCGTTGCAGTTGCTACCGCGATTCCCTTGTCATTCAACGTCTGCCATCGCTGCCACTTGCCAGTAATTGGTTCGTTCTTAACTGAGTTTTGTATAGTGAAACAACGTTGTATACACATCAACGCCAGTGCTCGGGCTCTTCCAACCAAAATACCTCTCCCTTGAGTGCAGCTCCCAGCCCTTGGGCACTCCAAACTCCTCCACTTCCTGCAGATGGTTGATGCCCAACAATGAATTCATTGGGGGCGGCAGCATCTTGATCCTCTCATTCTGCTCATCTGGAATTTCATCTACCCCAATAGTCACGGACTTTTGTGCTAGCATGAAGCATCGCGCTAGGACTAGAGAAACCTCGTAGGTGTTGAGGAAGTTAATGGCCTGATGATATATGATGTGGTCGAACTTCTCAGACATTCTCGGCAGACACTCCTGGACTGGCCCAATAATGACATCGCCATACCCGGCTTGCCTCGCAAGTCGAGCCATTTCGGGCGAGATGTCGATTCCCACATGCCGAGCCTTCTTGGCTTCTGAGCCTAGGGACTCGGAGACATGCTTTTCGCGAATCATCCGACCAAAAATGCCTGAGCCACAGCCAAGGTCCAGCAAGCTTCCGTTGAAGTTGTCTTTGCTCAGGAGATTGGCGATCTCGCCTTCTGCGGGGCTATGTGTGAGTTTATGGTTCTCATATCCGGGTGCAATGATATCCCACGCTTCGCTGATCTTGCCCAGACGTGATTGGCCATGCTGCTCTGCCTGCATCATATATGAAGCGAAAACGATGTTGAGCAGTGCGCGGTGTGCGCCGGGCAGGCTGTCTAGGATGACTTCTTCCTTGGGGTCCATGGTTTCAGGCAGGAATATCCCAGGCATGGGGTTTACTTCGATGACCACTGGGCTCCCATCTGGTTTAATTCTGATGTCCACGCTGCCCCACGAGCCACCTTTGTTCCCATTGACAGTGAAAGCCTCTACAGCGAGTTGCTGCAGCGTATCATAGAGTCGAGGGTCGTCATCTCGCTTGATGAGGGTCCCATCAAGCTCGGGATGGAATTTAATGTCGAATGTCAGGAAGCGGTCGGGAGATGCCACATCACCGTTGGGATATGTATAGTATACTGGATTCAGAGCAATTGGTGTCTCCCCAAATTCAATCACAACCACAGCGTAGTCTATGCCAGGTATAAACTCTTGCACGATTATATCATCGGGAAGATTGTCAACAGAGGCATGCTCGCCCTCACGAGGAACGTAAACAATGGCATCCTCGCTCGAGGGTTTTTGGGCTTCTCTTCTCACACGACCTGGCTCCAGCTGCCGATTGATTTCTGCAATGGCTGCGTCTCGTTCCGCCTCTGTGCGGCAGAGGCTCTTCTCACTCATGAATTGGCTCGCGCAGGTTCTTGCAGCCTTGACAATCACTGGAAACGAGTTCATGTTGTTGCCGGGGACAGGGGGGCTTCCTCTCTTCCGCGCAGTCTCATAGAATTCTGTCTTGCTCTTCATCTGTATATGACTTCTATAGCCAATAAAAGGAACATTGAGACTCTCAAGATATTCAACGGCCTTCACACCGGCTACTTCATCTTCTGGAGCTCCCCAGAGGAAGTTGAAGATGAAATCGAAGCCTTCGGCCACCGCATCATCAATCTGCTGGCGAAAGTTGGCCTTGTCGACAAAGCGGTGATGGAATTCGTGCTGGGATACGTAGCGTCCCGGGTCAGGATACTCATCAATCTCACGGAGTACGTGTACTTCAGGATATGTGGCTTGCAGAAGGCAGATCTTCATGGTTACGGTCAGAGTCGGAAGTAGGGAAAAGAGTGACCAAAAAGTAATCACCGCAAATGTAGATTGTGAGTTGAATGGCAACAGAATATCCAGACGAATTGAAAGGGGAAATATGGTTCGCCTCCTCATGATTTATCATCTCGCAATCAAGTTGTTCGCCAACTCAAGCCGGATGCTACAATATCCTCTTCGGACACTTGGGATCCATTATGGGATCCGATGTTTTACATTGTATGCACGGACGCGCTATTCCGGAGCTAATTGTGCCATCTGCACTTCTCTCCCCGGATACTACTAGGGAAGAAGGATCGATATTGGATACTCGTCTCTCGAGCTAGGTCGGACATGGTTTTCGTTATCTCGCAAGCCATCATGTCCTCCCCGGCTGTCCTAGCTCCGATATCTTATTTCGCCCTATGCCCACTGCCTCCGATTGACCTGAATGCTGTACTACCTCGTATTGCTTCTCGTTGTCTCATCAACCACAACTTATCCTGAATGTGGTGACACTAACTCTATTTGTTTCGGCCTCTTTCTCGCGATTCCGACATGACTCTTAGCCTAATTCTGAGACCTGTAAACAAACGGCCAAGGAGTTTCGCAACCTCCCACCCGACATGGACTTACGAAGGTTGTCGTTATCTATACACTCTTTCCAATGCCTAGAATGACACGACACAGGTTCAGAACAGGGCAGTCTGTGATTGCTCACCAATCCTGTGGGAATCCATCTTAAAGTCTACAGAGCTCTCTGGCATAACCAAACTCGAAGTGCTACACTCTTCCGAGGTGGATCCTTGCCAGTGCGTCCCGGGCTTTTTTGTACGTCTATAAGTTTTGACCCCTCGTTGAGCACAAGGCGTTATCCTTACGTCACAACGCTTGTAACACTATCGTGACAAGATCTTGAGGGGTAGAGCAAGGCCTACGAAAATAGCTAACTATCCCTGAGAAATATTGGCCAATTACGCAGCAATGTGGGTTTCTGTCGATTCGGGTATGGTGCCAGTTCTGGTGTCTCCTCCAACAAAGGATCATTATTCCAGTCACATATCATCACGACCCAATTGCGAACATTGTTCCGAGCTTACAGGACTTGCCGAGACAGTGTTCCACATTATCATCGAGCTCGTGTGCCGATTTGCTGATCCCGCGTATCACCAATCCAGAAAGATGTACTACGGTGGCGTTTTCCGATCCCGAACCTATTTGTGTCTCAGGTGAGTCGCCATTTTCACGTCATGATGCATTAAGAACAATATTACATATCACTCCCGAATAGATTGCATTCATTCCGAGCGGAGTCCTCTCACAAAAGGGTTGGGATCGTCTCCTAGTCGCACAGTTCTCCCGAAGAAGAGTACAGGCGCGGAGCAACCTGAATGGTGGCTTAGGTTCACGAGACAAAGATGTGTCGTGCTTTTCCAATTATCGTCGTTCATTGAGCTGAATATACGCAACTATGATGTGATTAGAGATTCATGGCCGTAACTCTGTAAACCTAGGAAACGTGGAAGTTTTCCGTGGTTAAACCCAACAAGCCGCTATAACATCAATGTTTATAAATAATGATTGACATCCCCGCCGAGATTCCAGTAATTCTTTCCTGCACCAAAGACTTTACCAAATTTCACTTACAACTTAAATTCATCAACTTCACACTACTTCTTCCAAAAATGGCTTCCACCGGTCTCTACTACTACTACTACTACTATTACTACTACGCCACTATGTACTACTAGTTCATCTATGCCCCCATCTTCTGTCCACAAGTATGTTTCATGCTCAAGTATCGTCTCGTTGGGCATCTTTTTTGACACAGAACTCAGGTCAATGGAGTAGATTGGGGTCTATTAGCATTGGAATGGAGTAACTAGCCAACTACACCAATTACTTTGTCTTGGTACAGGTTTTTCCCCGATGGACCGTCGGATCGGGTTTTCCTATACCGAATTGCGAATGCAGAGACACCAAAATAAACTTATTTCGATACACTCCTAAGAGATTTCAGTCGACGTTTCCGTAATCATATTTGTGAATGTGTCGAGGCCTAAGGATACGCAGACTTGGTAATATCGTACACACACATACATGATTGATACTCCCCAGTCTCCCGAAAGCGCCTTTTGCGAGGGAGGGGGAGGTTTTCCAGTTGTAACATTCAATGACAGTTTCATCACGGTGAATACTCAAATGGCTTCGTAGAATGTCCTGGTGTGATTATCATGGTCTCCGGTCTCCCCTCCCTTGCCGGTTCGGGTGCCAAAATATCTAGGTTCAGTACTACCGACCGTATTCCAGTCCTGCCCACCATCTTCCACGCTGGACTGTATTGATTGTTCGATGCCGAGAATGATGAGCTCTACTTTTCACACATCTGCATTTTCTCGCCTGGTCGTAGGGCATCATTTGAGCGATCTGACACTGGCTTGGTATGGATGTTGTGTCAACTCTCCATTCCAAGATAAGCCAGGTCGTCGTGATCAATGGACGAGCTGCGAAAAGTTTGGGTTTTCAAATCTTGATAATGGAAACACAGAATCAATACTGCATAACTCTTGTGTTTATTCAGTCAATCCACTAAGCTAGCATAAACTCCGCTATCGTCGGACCGTGGACACCCAAGGACCTTCTTCCTTCTTACATCACCATCGCTTCTACAGCACTGACAGCGCCATATGATTTGAACGGGACTGTCAGTCATGGTTAGTATCCATTCTGGTTGTTGAAATTCGAGCGCCCAGATTTTGAATTTGGCCTACGACTGATTGAGGCTTGCGTACCTTTTTTCAAGAGGAGTAAAGACGGCCAGCATATAGCTTCGCCCAGTCACTGAGGACGTAAGCGCAGCCGGTTGAATCTGAAACAGAGACGCCGCTACCAGTGCAGTCAGGAGTAGGATCGGTGAATCCGACAACTATAGCAAGGTAAGTGTTCTCCGTTAGCGAGTGATTTCAAATATTTGGAACCTTCTTCTTACGGCCACCCTAAAAACATCAAGGTGGCAGGCTCGATAACAATTCAGATGAAAACTTACGGTTGTAGGACTTGTCGATGTCGCGGTAGGAAGTCCATTTAACGGAGCTGAAGCCTGAGTCACCGAACTGAATGCAGACCTCGCGAGTCAGGACATCGATAGTCTTGATCACGGTTCCGGTGCAGTGGGCGGTATTGAAAACCTCAACCTTCCCAATAGGCTCTGCGCGAACGGACTCTAGAGCAGCAGCAGAGACGTAGGTGGTTAAACCCAAAACGGGGACGAGGAATTTGGGGAAGATCATGGTGTATGATGGTAGTTCGAGACAGTGAACGTGTTTAGTTTTTTCTTCTTGATATTCCTTTCTTGATTAATGATTCAACACTGGGACCGTGTCTGGTTTATATAACGGCCTAGATTAGTAGAAGAACAAATCAAGTCCCAAATTGGTCATTATTTAATGAGCATGATAGATCAACATTGTACCTACTGCTGTTTTATGTGAGGCGGCCGCCTGATAGAGGTTGTCCGAAATGCATACCATGCCTCGAGGCCTAAGTGAGTTGCCCTTCGTAGTTCAAGAATCCGCCAAGTTGAGCGTGTGATTGGCCAAGATACGACTAAGCCGGGGTTAGAAGTCACCTCGGCTGCGACGTTGGACAAATGCCCGAGTCTTACTCAGATCTCACTATTGCCACCTTCCAACTCAAAGCTAGACCACAAAGAGAAGGAATCAGTGCTTTTACATCAAAGCATGAAAACAAGACGAAACGCAAAACCGAGGAGAAATTCTTGGGAAATAATTGGAGTGTATAGTACGCCAAGATCATGTAAGAACCCTTCAGAGCCTGTATTCCATGATTCTAAGAAGATGCATTCTAGCAAACTATAACATATCCTTCCGTTGTTTGTTGGGAACAGCCTATCCTCCCTATGTTTACCTTTGTTGTGAATCAAAATCCATCGGCTACAGAGAGCGACGGGGGGTTATAACGGCAGGTAAGACAGAACATGCCGGGGAACTGTTCTGGCAGGTGAGCGGCTGCCATTACCCTTTCAGGCACATTTGATGAGTTTATCTCGTAATTCCGCGGTGATTTAAGCCAACCGAGGAGTTAGTTCCCGATTGTGAAACTCAACTGCCGGATTCTTAAGCTCATCTACTAAAAAAGGAGCTGCGGTCTTCCCTTGGGTGTTGAACACCCATGAAAATCAACAGCGTTACAGGGGTTATTAAGTGTCAGGGAAAATCATCTTCATGGTTTCCCGCTTAGTAAGAAGATATTTTGTAACTTCCTCCCAGAAAGCCAACCAACAGTTTTGTTGGATCCCATTTCAGACACATTACAGTTGAAACAAGAGACATGGTTGCGAGAGAGACTTGTGTGCGCGTCAATGCAAACCTCCTTTCAAAAATTAAGGCCGCCACTTGGTATGCCTCGCATACCATTTAAGGTACTGCTACGCCCCCTTTCACCGTTTCATGGGTTGTTCCATTAAAGAAGTTATCCTTGGTTTAGACCCCTGGCCAAGCGCAGCATAGCAACTGCCGGAACCGTCCAACATGTCAGCATCGAGATTTGACGCTGCTAGGATGTGTCGTTATCACTCAGCTGGTTTTCTACAACGTATACCTGATAACGTTTTGCTGACGACAATGATGAATTGCCTTCCATTTCAACCCGTGTTCTATCCCGTGAAAGCAACAGACACCAAATGGCCATTTAGATGGACGTATCAGCACTTGTGGCTCTCTAACATTCACTTCGCTATACCTACTAGTATCAAACATTAGGACAGCCCTGATACTGGTCATGGCCTTTTGGTAGGGGAAATACTCCTGCTCTAGATGCTATTTTCCGGTCAATTCCCATACATATATGGTAGCAATAGCCCAGTAGGCCAGGTTTCGCAAAAGTGCTTCTATTTCTCCTATATCAGCGGGTTTGCACCTGCAACCTTCATCCTCGGCAGTGCCCCGAACTCAGCGGTCTCTTGAAACATTTCAAATAAACTCTCCAATGTATCAACGAATCCATTGAAGCCAAACCGCCGCACTTTATTCATCGACAAATTAGCGCGTCGTTCATAGTCAAACTCCGAGATAACCGTCTCCATAGCTGGATCGTCGAAGACATTACGTTTGACCTGACCAGCCAATCCAGCCATGATTTGCTCCCAAGCTACACGGTTCTCGGGTTGCTTGAACCATTCAGCGATGCGGAACTTGATTCTAAGAGCCGTCGGGGGACCGTATCCCAGGGGACTATCCTTGCCACCGGCGAACTCGATGATCATGAACTTGGATGCATCGTGATCAGGATTGACCACGCCCATCTCTACGCCGTACCAACGAGCCAACTCGTTGAAGAAGCGGTCCCAAGTGATGGTAGCGCCATCCTGTTGGTTAAAGGCATGGTTTCTGCATTTCTCTTCCAGCACCGCCCATTCACTTAGATACCCTCCCAGACGGGCAGTAAAATGCGAATACTCAAACTGCCACGATTCAAAGTCTCCTCCAAAGTATAGAGGCTCACCCTTTTGGGCTTGGACGGCAGCGTAGATCGCGAAGGGATAAAACGCATTTAGGGGAGCACGCGGAGCGACGCCAATAACACCAACGGGACGAACGACATTCCATCCCGTTTGGGGGTGCTTCTTGCAGTACTCGAAAAGAAGGTCTTCCTGAGAGTAATAAAAGTTTGTCTGGAGATGACGTGGTTTCGGGTCAGATTCCACCAGCGGTGCTCGACAACGGCCGATATGAAGGCCGTAATTCTTCCCGCCCGTCTGCAGCAGAATGCGTTTTAGTTCGAGATTCGCAAGCTCCAAACTTTCAAGAAAGTTCTTGAACATGGGTACATTGATGTCTGCCAACGCATCAGCCATCTTCGTACTCATGCTCGAGTCGCCCGTCTTAGGCTGTAGATAGGCGTAGAAGAAGACATAGTCAGCCTTGACACCAGCCTTCTGGAGGGTATCGGCAATCTCCTCACTAGGTTGGGTGAGATCAACAGAAACTTCTTTGATATGGGAGCGAAGTGACTGAGGGATCAGAGCCCGCTGCTCCGCAGAGAGGCCGCTCCGCGATAGAGAATAGATGGTTGACCATCGCTCAGGGGCATCCAAAAGAGCACGCAGGGTTGCAAATCCAGAGATACCGTTGGAACCGGTGATGATAGCATTGAGGTTACGGATGGAGGGGTCAAAGTTGGGCAGGTTGCGGTAGATGCCGCACTGCCGTAAGGGATAGTCGGTAGAGCTCATAGTAGATAGAATGAAGCTGGATGTAAACGAGGAACAATATCAATTTGAACGGAGATATCGCTAATAAATGGGACAGTAATAAAGAAATATCGCGCACCCGTGCCCAGCACTGTAATCCGAGTGGAGAGACTGATTGATGCATCGTGGCCTAAGCACTGTGGATCGTCTGCATAATGAGTGGTTCAGGATCGATTTAACGATATTCATTGGATCATACTTGAGGGAGCATGAGAGATGGGGATCAAAGTTGCACCACCATTAGTAGTAGTATTTCCTGGCAATCATGTTGATAGACGTAGTTCCTAGACTCACCCCACAGAAGATACCAAGGGTGACGAAAGTCCTGCTCATCCAACGGCCAACTTATTGTTCTCGAGAATGTTTTTTTAGCCATTACTTCAGCCAGACTTCTGAAGACAACCTTCTATTCCCTTTTGTTGGCCTTCGGTGCTGTCTTGAACTTAACAATAATCACCGAGTCCAGTCCAATACCCGTGAAGTAGCTTGTTAGACAAATGCCAAGGCAACCCGCAACGGGGAACACGGCAGTACGGAAATCCGGCAACTTGATTTCAGCATGGCTATGAAGGAAAACACTTCGACAATCAGAGAGAAACTCCATAGCATCAACAGCATAAAATGTCCATCTCTGCGGCTCTTTACCTTTACTTATTGGAGGAAGACATCTGTTCTTGGTCATTATGCTCAGCATGATCTACCACGCTATCACAGCCACCCGCTCTATGTGGAGTCGATCTCTAGAAATGCGAGTAGTGAGGGGCTCCCGTGTGCCCCTTCTATCCGGGACCTAGCTAGCCAAGCCACATACCTTCAGGGGCCAGCAAAGACGTTCTTATTGATGCTTTCGTACAAGAATCATAAAGCTTGAATCTATAATATTCACATTAGCGGAACTAGACATGCCCGTGTTAATCAGTTGGGGAATTGCGCACAGAGAGAACTCCATTCAACGTCTCGAGAGAAGGCGAAATTAGTTAGTGCTAGGGGGCGTGATCGGGCTGGTATTCTGCCAGTTTCATCCTTAAGCCGGCCTTCAAGTATTCATATCCGGACTTGACTATGACCGCAGTGCAGCCAAAAATGTATTTTGGTCGAGCTTACTGTTATGAACACTAGGCACAGGTTTCTCCTCATTCTGTATCCCAGTTATGAGCCACGTCCACAGCGAGGGGCTCTCGTTGTTCTTGAACCTAGCAAACCCCTTTTCAAGGAGGTGGATACCAGTAAATTTCTCTCTGGACTGCACAGGCGGGGCATATCATGGGCAGATGGAGCCCAGATGTTGTACCAAGAGTAATCAGTTCCCGCCAAATAATGGATATCATATAGCCTGAGACGAAAGCCACGCCTCTGATGCTAGAATACGATGATCTCGACTGGCCAACGCTGTGCTTCCAGCCTCTGAGCAGATCTTCTTGTGTAGTATGCTACTATTGAACAGTCTGGAATCATATGCTTATGATTTCGGGCATTCCGATCCGGACTGAATTGGTAACGGATCAAATATGTAGATGTGGCTTATGGAATGGTTAGCCGCGTTATCCCGATCTTCGCTGGCACCGATGCCGGCGATATTTCCCATCAAGGACAAGGAGCATCCATCTCGTAGGGGCAACATTGCCACGCGTCGCCGCCATACTGAATGGAATGTTACATGCAGGACCGCAGTTCTAGAAACTAGGAACTTAATGTCTAGCATGCGTTTTAGTGACCAACGCGGAGCATTGGGGGCCAAACACATCAGGTGAGTGAAAAATGCTTGGGCACATGATGAATTTTGTAGTTGAGTGAGATCGCTCTACCTATTACGGCTGACAACTATCGGACACTTCTTTAAAACAATTATCTTCATTTCCATGAATGTAGAAGAACAAAGAGAGACTTGAGGGCTTAATTAAACTTACCTTCTTCAGCACAGTCGTTGGATTCTCGCGAGAGCGTGTCATCAACCATTGCGTGAGCACGAGCCCTAGCCTTTCATGCATGGATACGGTATCCGCGGCCTTCATCCGATGATTTGTACATATGCAGCTTACGATCGATCACGCCTCGGCTAATGCCGCTAATTGTTCCAGATTTACCTTATCCACTACTAAAATATCCTACGTGCTCATTCCAAGCAACTCAAGACACCTGCTTTCGGTTAGTGACCTGATAGTATCTCCTGAGTCTCGAAACTTTCTGTTCTGTATAAGTCACACTAATGTAGCAATTAAGCATCTCTTCATCACATAGGAGTAGAGGGCTTCGAGGCTTCTAATTGGAGGTAATGGATTCATGTTAAGGTCGTTAGAGTAGAACCACATATTGCGACGATTAGTTGACGGAGAGGCGTATAGTCTCCATATTTGTTGGATGATTGAAAAAGCATGAAGTTCTACCTTCCTAATCTGTCATTTTTCCATTTATGCATGAGCGGGATGGTGCGTGTTTATTCTGATCAAGATTATCATCAGTAGGGGTCACAAAAGCAATGGCACCAGGCCAGGCCACAAGAAGTTGATGAACCGATAAATGGAAAAGCTCTCAAGCACAGCGGCAACCGCATGCCGATTTATGGTATGATTAGGACTGGGACCTACTTGCCCAGGGCTTGCCATGAGGATGCCAAGAGTCCTCAGCCATGTGGGAGTATGAGGCTTTTCTTGAATCACCCGTTGGACTACCTAGAAAATGCTAGACTGGAGCAAGCCAAGAGCCAATCTTACCCTCCTCAAGGATGAAAAGGTCGTATCCGATATCGATTGGGTAATGAACTGCAGTCAAAGCAACCTAGCCAGGATCCATTGTGGAATCGGTCCCCATCTGATCCCCATCCACTACCAGTAGCATCTTATCTGATGATCTGATAAAAATTTTCATTTGGGGCGGTCCGCAATGCATCCGGAGGATAATGCCCAAAAGTGACAGGATGTGACAGGCAAGGGTGGCGAGCAAGCCATCAAAGGCAGAGGGCTGAAGAAGTGAGTTCGTTCCCTCGCCTTGATGGCTTTTTCAGGCGTTTGTTGCAGCTGTTGCTCCATTCATGATCCACAACCATCCCCCTGCTGTCGCCACTTTGGAGGGTGAGGGACAATGATTCTTGCCGTTCTCTCTACCTTCGCATGGGCTTACTTTGCTGTCCACCTATTAGGAATCTTTGTTGGACCCCATCACACCCTCCTTGATCAATTAGAGGCTGGGAAAACCCGCCGCTCCTCTCACCTGTCCAAAATTTTCGATTCCCACACCTAGCCCTGTTGGTCCCTCCGCGGACCGAATGGGCCAACCTACCGTTCATGCATGCATGAAGCCACCGGAATAGCAAAAAGGGCCGTAGTTCGATGCCATTGAGTGGGCCATGGCCCGGTTATCGGGAGGCCTACGACGGATATAAACTCGATGCCCGTCAGTTCAATGCTGATCGATCCTGGCCTTCACTCCCTCTAATAGCCGTGCTAGCAACACAAAGGGTAGCCTTTTTTGCAAAGAGAACACGAGCCTCTACCATGGCTGTAGCTATCAACACAACTGGTCCTGAGGAAGACCCTGAGAAGCACAGCCATGTTGTGCAAACTAATGCCGTCCCTGTAGATACCCTCAGGGACTCGGACGAGGAGTCCGACGTCAAACAGGAGGGTGTCAAGAATGCCGAAGCCATCACGTCCCTTTGGCCCCGTAACATGCTATGGGTGATTTTCGTTCTGTGAGTTCTGTCCCCAGGCTCCTTTCAACATCAGATGTCAATCCTCTTCGAAATCTCGATAATGAAAATTAGGTGCTAACAAACAGTTTCTTTCAGGCTCTGGCTCGTCTCTTTTTCCATGGCCCTGCTCGGTAGCGTTGATGGAGCACTTTCACCTTACGTTACTTCATCGTTCTCTCAGCACGGTCTTCTCGGCGTCATCAGCATCGTATCGCGAATCATCGGCGGTGTCGTTACTCTCGCCATTGCCAAGACGATTGATATCCGTGGCCGCCTCGAGGGTTTCATTGGAGCCGTCGTCCTGGTTGTTGTTGGCGCGATCATGAAGGCTGCCTGCAAAAATGTCACCACATACGCTGCTGCTGCCGTCTTCACATGGGTTGGCAACGTTGCTGTCGGCTTCATCATCGATATCTTTGTCGCTGATATCACCACATTGAGAAACCGGATGATCATCTTCACTCTCAACTCAACGCCAAACATCATTACTACATTTGCTGGCGCCAAGATTGGGGAGCTCTTCTACCTTTACCACAACTTCAGACTGGCCTTTATCGCCTGTGCCATCATCTTTGTTGGCCTTTCTCTTCCGGTCATCTCCATCATGTGGTACTACGAGCGACAGGCGAAGAAGGCTGGCTTGATCCGCGAAAAGTCCGGCCGGACTACCTTTGAAAGCCTAAAGTACTATTGGATCCAGTTTGATTGTAGGTTATCATCCCATCCCCCTCCCCTAAACTGGGCAGTTTAGGTAGTTGCTAACCAAGAGCAGTTATCGGCATGATCCTCATTATTGCCGGCTTCGCTCTCCTACTTCTGCCATTCAGTTTGGTAAGAACCATTGGAGGCGGTTGGACCAGCCCCACGGTCATCGTCATGATTGTCCTTGGCGTCGTGATCCTCGGTTGCTTTGTCGCGTGGGAGAAGTTCTTCGCCCCCGTGATGTTCTTCCCCTTCCATCTGCTCAGGGACCGCACCATCTTGGGTGCTGCGCTTGCCTACTTCGTCATGTTCCTGTCCACCTTGTAAGCTTATCTCTGTGAGCATCTAGAAGCTTCCGTACTGACTTTTGTCTGCAGCATCTGGAACGGATATTACAGCTCTTATCTTCAGGTTGTTCACGGGCTCAGTATCAGTATCTCCAACTATGTTCTCAACGCATACTCGCTCACTTCGTACTTCTGCTCGCCATTCATCGCTTGGTAAACAGCCCTCCCTCTTTTATCTCACCGATTTTCCCCGAAGCTAATCAAATCTCGTTCTTAGGTATATCCGATGGTCTGGTCAAGTGAAGTGGCCTGCAATGATCGCCGTCCCCATCTACCTGATGTCCACCGCTTTGATCATCTACTTCCGCAAGCCCGATACATCAGTAGGCTACGTCACCATGTGCCAGGTCCTCATCGGTTTCTCTACCGGTATGCTATCCACCATGTCACAGCTGATCCTGATGGCTGCGGCTGGCCACGCGAATGTTGCCGTCGCCATCGCCATCTACGGACTCTTCGGCTCCATTGGCTCTTCGACCGGATACGCCATCGCCGCCGGTCTCTGGACCAACCAGCTCCCCAACAAGCTTGAGAAGTACCTGCCCGAGGAGAGCAAGAACCTCACCGCGACTATCTACGGCGACATCAAGCAGCAGCTGGCCTACCCAATTGGCCATCCGATCCGTGACGCTGTCATCCACGCCTACGGTGATGTCATGCGATCCATGACCATTGCTGGGGCTTGCCTGTGTCCGCTTCTCATCGCCTCTATCTTGATGTGGAGGAACATCAATGTCAAGAACATTCAGGAGGAGGAGAAGTCCAAGCGTGGCAACATCTTTTAGAACGGCCAGCCCATTAATCTCACACTGGCAATCCAATTTCAACATCCCCCTCCAAACGATAGCGGCATCATTTAGTAATATATCTGACAATATTGAAAGATCAATTCATTGGCAGTTCCAATATAACCAAATATGCGTACATCCTGCTTCTACGAGTATTCGTTTCTGGCGTCTGCTGGTGTTCTTGATTTCCAGCTTGACAGAATGGTCTCGTTTTCCAGCTTAAGACGACTCATGATCTCCATTTGATTCCTATTGCTTCTTCATGTTTCCTGCAATGTAGAGAAAACAAGTCTATTTCTATTCCCATTCTATTGCCAAATCACTCGTAATTAATATAAACCCTCCCCTCCCAAGGAGCAAGCACTGGCTGCTGACTCTTCTGCTCCAATTCGCCTCGCGCCAACGTACTGACCAACAATCTAGGCTCGTCCCCATCCATCTCTTCCGCAATATTGGGTCCTGCCCTCACCTCCTTTGACATGTTCAACACCACGACCGCCTTCTTGCCGGAGCCCTTGGTATCTCTCTTGATGTACGAAAACACAAACTCATTCTCGGGGTCGATGAGCTTAAATGAGCCGAACACGAACAGCTGCTTATGCTGCTTTCGCAGACGAAGACACGACTTGTAAAAGCTCAATATCGACTCTGGATCGTCACGCTGCCGCGCCGCATTGATGGATCTATACTCGTCGTGGACTCTCATCCACGGCTTCGCATCTGCTGTTGTGAACCCAGCATTTGGAGAGTCATCCCACTGGAAGGGAATCCGAGAGTGGTCGCGAGCCAGGTGGCTCAGGCCATGCAGCGTCTTGCGGATGCGCTCCTCGTCGCCAGACTCGACGGCCTCGGCGTAGAAGCCGCTGCTCTCAATGTCCTTGTACTCGTCGATCCCCCACGAGGAGGGCATGTTTGTCATTCCAATCTCCTGGCCCTGGTACAGAAACAGAGTCCCCGTCAGTGTAGCCTGCCACAGAGCGATGGCCTTGGCGGATCTGTTCCACATATCAGGCGATGAAGTGTCGCCGAAGCGGCTCACGGCGCGAGCATTGTCGTGATTTTCAATAAAGGCCGTTGTCCATGCATCCGTGCCCTCTACAAAGCTCTGCCATTTCTCAGTTGTTTTCTTGAGGGTTGGTAGACTGAATGGCTGGTAGATATATTTCGGTCCCAGAATGTTGCCCGTGCCGAGGCGGATGAGGGAAAACTCGAAGACCATGTCAAGCTCCCGGGCGGCGGCGGAGACATACGGCACCACCTGGTCGGGATGCGGCGTGTTGGACAGCTCGCCAATGGAGATTGCATTGTAGGGCGCAAGAGCTTTCTGGTTCATCTCATGGATGAACTCGTGGATCCTAGGGCCGTTGCACCACATCTCGGGAGCTGACTGGTGAGGAGATTTGGGATCCGTAACAGGAGCATCCACGAAATCCTGTCGCTTGGAGTATTTATTGACGGTATCTATGCGGAAACCGTCGACTCCTCGGTCGAGCCAGAACCGCATTGTATTGTCGTAGATGGCGTTGCGACACTCTTCATTCTCCCAATTCAAGTCTGGCTGGTCTGACGCGTATAGGTGCAGGTAGTATTCGTGCGTTTTCTCATCCCAAGTCCAGGTTGGTCCGGCAAAATAGCTGCGCCAGTTTGTAGGTGGGCGGCGGACACCGTTCTCATCGTAGCGCGCTGGCTTCCAGATGTACCAATCGCGTTTGGGGTTGTCTCTGGATGATCGTGACTCCTTGAACCACTCGTGTTCCTGGGAGGTGTGATTCACCACTAGATCCAGCACTACCTTCATGCCTCTGCGGTGTGCCTGATCCAGCAGTTCGTCCACATCCTCTATCGAACCGTAAGGCTCGTAGATCTTCTGATAATCAGACACATCGTAGCCCATATCCTTCTGGGGACTCTCAAAAATGGGCGACACCCAGATCACATCTACCCCAAGCTCATGGAGGTAGTCGACCTTGGAGATGAGGCCTGGCAAATCGCCCCAGCCGTCGCCATTTGAGTCTTTGAAGCTGGCCGGGTATACTTGATAGATGGTGGCATCTTTCCAGTAAGGCTCGCTGGACCACCCATTGTGTTTCTCGTATGCAATTGCTCCCATCGCGGCGGTACAGAACGGTGAGCTAATTCCATCCACCAGCTTACGGCCAGGTTAGGAGGAAGGGACACGTAGAGGCGGAACGTGATCAAATTGACAGGAAATAGAACGAGACGTCGGCTGACTTGAAATCTATTATGTGCCCGCAAATTGCGGAACTCTCCATATGTTAGTAATCGTGCTAGAGGACCCCGAAAACGCCTCCATCGTACGTACCGACTGTGCATGAGAGCCTTGGGAATGGGAGGCTCCTGTTGGCGGGCAGACCAAGGCCCAAGCCCACAGGGATGAAGCGGAGGCTCCGTCTCGAACCTCGCCATGATCCACCAAACTCCTGTTCCCTCCGCTCCCGGTGCAAATTTCTCCAATAGCGTCCTGAATCCCCTACGAGGGGTGGAGATCATTGCCTCAAAGAGTCGGAGTCTCCTGTAATGACAAGCAGTTTCTCCTCCCATCACACGACTGATGAAGCAGCCCCCCGCAACCAACTCCATGGATTTAGCCAGTCTGGCTGGAGAAAAGCAAACAGGCTCAGGTCTCCCCGGGCCAAACTAGAGCCAGGAAGATGGGGAGGGAGGCTTAACCCCACATTAGAAGCTATTATCTCGGTAACCGTCAAGCCATTTGATGCCGTCTCCAACACAAATTTTCGGTTCATCGCTGAAGCATAAATAGGCTGTCGCAAGCCGTATCAATTCCCTGCTTCATGCTACATCCAACCCATCCATCTCTCTATTAACCTTCTTCCCCTTATCATCTCAAAGTCCTCTCACCGGCATGGCTGAAGCAAAGTCAGCAACGGGCAACACCAAGCCCGTGTCTGAGCGCAATGACTCCATCCAAGCCGACGTCCTCGCCGCAGAGGCCGCCCAGGCCGCACGCGCAGAGCACGAGATGAGCCTCTGGCAGGCCGTCAAGACGTACCCCAAGGCGATTGGCTGGTCGATGCTTGTGAGCAGCACCCTCATCATGGAGGGCTACGACCTGGCCCTGCTCGGCAACCTCTACGCTTCGCCCGTCTTCAACAAGAAGTACGGCGTCTGGAGCGAGGCCAACAACAAGTACCAGATCTCGGCGGCGTGGCAGTCAGGCTTGTCCAACGGTGCTCGCGCGGGCGAGATCATCGGGCTGATTATCGCTGGTTGGATCACGGATCGATACGGATCCAAGATGACCACGATTGGTTTCCTCGTCATGATGATTGTCACCATCTTTGCTCTGTTCTTCGCCCCCAACATTCAGATCCTTGTTGTTGGAGAAGTCCTGTGCGGTAAGTGGCGCGCCAGATATCGCGAGATGCTCCAAATGCTAACCTTAGACCCTTGCCAGGCATCCCGTGGGGCGCATTCCAGAGCGTAGCTGCTCAGTACGCATCGGAGGTTGCGCCAGTGGTCCTCCGCCCGTTCCTCACGACATATATCAACATGTGCTGGGTCATGGGTCAGTTCTTCGCGGCTGCTGTTAACCGTGGATCCGTCGACTTCACAGACTCGCGTGCCTACCGCATCCCCTTTGGCGTGCAATGGCTGTGGCCAGTCCTGATCCTCTCAGGCCTTGTGTTTGCACCAGAGTAAGTATTCTTGATGTCCCTAGAGCTGTCCTACAAGCATAATCTAACACGAACAGATCCCCATGGTGGTATGTCCGCAAAGGTCGCCGCGACGAAGCGCGCGCGGCACTCGTGAGACTCACGAACAAGGACCAGCCTGGCTTCAACCCCGACGAGACCATCGCCATGATCGAGCACACCAACGAGATGGAGCGTAGGGCCAAGGACGGCACGACCTACATGGACTGCTTCAAGGGGATCGACCTCCGCCGCACCGAGATCGTGGTGGGCATCTGGACCGTCCAGACCCTCGGCGGCCAGAACCTGATGGGCTACTTCAGCTACTTCCTGACGCAGGCCGGCATGAACACCCGCAACTCCTTCTCCCTCTCCATGGCCAACTCGGCGCTGGGCATGGTCGGCACGGCAGGCTCGTGGTTCCTCATGTCCAAGATCGGCCGCCGCAGCATCCACTTCAGCGGCCTCTGCACCCAGCTGCTCATCCTCGTCATCGTCGGCTCCCTGTCGTTCGCCAAGACCAACGCCTCCGTCTGGGCCATCGGCGGCATGCTGATTCTCTTCACCTTCGTGTACGACTTCACCGTCGGGCCCGTCACCTACTCGCTCGTGTCGGAGCTGTCGTCCACGCGGCTCAAGGCCAAGACCATCGTGCTCGCGCGCGCGGCGTACAACGCCAGCAACATCTTCGTCAACGTCATGACCAACTACCAGCTCTCGTCCACGGCCTGGAACTGGGGCGCCCGCGCCGCCTTCTTCTGGGCCGGCACCTGCCTGCTGTCGTGCGTCTGGGTCTTCTTCAGGCTCCCGGAGCCCAAGGGACGCACGTACGCCGAGCTGGATATGCTGTTTGAGCAGCGCACTCCCTCCAGGAAGTTCGCTTCTACACATGTCGACCCGTACAGGGCAGAGGCAACAGACGCTAAGATTAAGGTGCAGCAAGAGGAGGCAATCTAAATATGGCAAGTGGCGGAGGGAACAGTTTTAATATTAATGTATATCAGAGAACAGCAAGGGATGCTACTGCTGTTTTGAAAATAACATCACTGTGATTCCAGATTTTCCATAGTGAGGCTCTCAATTCCTCCCATCTCAAGGCTAGGCAATGTTTGCTGAATATGCTTCCCCAATAAATCATCGTAGACGTCAGCGCCTCCCGGGAGTCTGCTGATGAGGCTTCTCAAATAGGACAGATCATCCTTAGGTGAACTCTCGATTTCAATGCCACGCTGGTAGGTCGGTGTCAGAGGAATTCTAGCCAAGACATCCACCAGGGATGATGCCACATCAAAGAGCTTTTCTGTCATGCCCATGCCGTGCACGCTGAAGCTCGAAGTCGGGAGGTCGCGAGTAGACAGCACAAGCTCCCTAGCCACATCAATCGGGTACCGGAAGGTCAAGCTGCGCTGATGAGACTCTTCCACGAGGTATCCGAGGTGCAGGCGCAACTGCCAAATAATAACCCGTAGCCACAGTTGAGTAACCCTCAGGTTAGCTTTCTGAGTGTCGTGAAGACTCGGGTCCAACCGCAGTGCAGAGTTGACCTCTAGCTCCACACGGTTCAGTGAGTCTGGCGTTGGCGAGATCATCAGAGTCTCCCTGTTCAGCAAGGCGATAAAAGATGTGTCAATGGGTCGGAACAAGGCCGCGAGACTCCAGAACCCGACCAGTGACGGGTCGCTTGAGTCCAGAGTAGGCGACTCTTTCGTAATTTGGAGAGTAACCGGGCGTCTGTAGCGTATAGCATGTGATCTCTCAGATACAAGGAGTACCCAAAAGAGGCGATCCATGATCAAACGGGAGGTATCGTTCGTGCCTTCAGGCCGGAAGAGTATCATCAAAGTGGTAGTCTCACGCAGGTATCTGAATGAGCGGCCATGGTGGCTGAGTACAGCCTCGCAAGCGTAAAGGAAGAAGGAAACCAGGCAAGTTTCCAAGCTAATGGGCGATCTCCGGGACATGTTCTGATAAGTAGAGATGAGCATCTCCAGGAGCAGGCGACCGAATGCGAGGTTCTTGTCGGGAATGACGCCCTGCTGGAACAGAGACTCGGGCTCCTCGGTCTGGAGCAATACCTGACACGCCATTCCTGCCAGTACACACAAGCTCTCCAGGCCAGCATCAGGCGACGCAGCCGTAGCTCGGAGAGAGGCAACGTAATCGAGGGTGAGGATGGGGATCGTAGGGTGCAGCCGGTCGAAGAACCGCTCAGTGCAGTAGTCGATCACACGGCTGGAGAGCAGCTCTGCCAACTGAGGCCCGGGAGCCGGGACTGAGGCACTCAATGCTACTCTAGGCTGTGGCACACGAGTGCGGCATTCATTCGCAAGACCAGACTCAATACACCGCCTGCACGGTCTGTACTCGCTGCATCCCCTCCTCAACCTCTTGCAACGGTCGCACGCTCTGGGCACCTGCAGCCTCTTGGTAACAGGCGGGGTATTTGTCGGTGCCCCAACCCAACTTGCTTCTTGGAGGGCCGGAATCGATGATGCTACTGAATCGCCAGGGGATTCATCTGTGGACGCAGCCCCCATGTGGTCCGAGGCTTCGTCCATCGCTGCCCTCTGAGCTGGATTTGGCGCCCAGCACGCGTTTGATGTCCCCAGTAGCGAAGGATTGTGATTCAAAGATGCCAGGCAAGGGTAACAGAAACATCATACTGGGCAATATCAGCTTTGCAAAGACTCCTGCGACGATGAGGGTGTCGCTTGCCTCAACATTGATTGACGGCTTTGCGGGGAGGCAGAAAAGAGTCGCGACACCTGCAGGATATTTACAGGCGCGCTCCAGTGGACTTAGGCTATTTGGCAGGCGACGCTTACCCGAAGTGCTCGGGACTGGCCCAGACAGAGCGAATGTAATTCGATAGAGATTGACACGCATGCGCAAGGTAGGTCTCTCGATTGTAAGACGTGACTGGGAGATTGATTGTCCAGGTGTAGCTAACGCATTTTTTTTATCTTAAGAAAAAGAGAAGGAGAAAAAGAGATTCGTAACTCATTGCAATGTCGTGTCCCCGTCGCTCTGCCTACCCTAAAGTCATAAACAGCCACCATAGAGCCATTCGAATGGCCCTCAAACCCTCCAACCCATACTCATGAAATGCATAAAACATCAAGGCATCGTTGGCAGCGCCTCCTTTGCCTTCTCGGTGCAAAGAATATGACCAATAGTTTCCTGTCCAGTGGCCCAGGCCAAAGGCGTCAGGCCGTCTTGATCGACCGCCATGATGTCGGCACCCTTTTTGACCAGAGCCTTGACCATCGCCTCTCGCCTCGTAATCACTGCCCAGGCCAGAGGTGTCCTGGCAAGCGTGTCTTTGGCTTCGATGTCAGCGCCGTTATCGAGCAGCATTTGGACGACCGGCATATGCATTGTCGTAACTGCCCTTGCGAGCGGTGTCATACAAGCCATCTGGTCCCTGGCCTCAATATCCGCACCTTTCTCCAGCAGCATGTAAACAACAGCTTCGTGCCCTCGCTCGGCGGCCCGCGCCAGCGCCGACCTGCCGACTTCATCTCTTGCTTCGATTTCTGCGCCTTTGTCGAGCAGCATCTGGACGATGGTCTCGTGTCCTCTGTCAGCAGCACGCGCGAGTGGTGTCCTTCCGTGCTGGTCTCTGGCGTTGACGTTGGCGCCCTTGTCCATCAGTAGTTGCACAACGGCCTCGCTTCCCATTTTCACAGCCCGGGCTAGCGGGGTCCTGCTGAGCGAATCCTTGGCCTCAATGTTGGCTCCCTTATCGAGCAGAATTTGGAGGATCGCCATGTGCCCGATCGTCGCGGCCCGCGACAAGGGTGTCCTACCGAACGGCAGATCTTGAGCTTCAATGTTGGCGCCATGCTCAATCAGTACATGGACAGCAGCCACATGCCCGGACTCGACGGCCCAGGCCAAGGGTGTTCTTCCTAGCAGATCTCTAGACTCGATACCGGCTCCTTTGTCGAGTAGCAGCCGGACGAGAGACTCGTGCCCGATCGAAGCGGCCAGCGCGAGAGGCGTTCTGCCCTCGATATCTTTTGCCTCAAGCCAGACCTCATTCGACCTTTTCCCGGCGTGCTTCTTCGTTATGAGTCCGGCGCCTGCCTCATCCTCAGTCGTGGCATGCTGAATTTCAATGGTCTTTTCAGTCCATTCTTCCACGGTCTTGGTGCTCCCGAGCGCCGCGGACAGTGACAGTCTCGGGTCGAGAATGTGCCGGAAATTCACGATCCCGAATTGTCTCGCCAGCCAATTCTTCGAAACCGCCCGGTACTTGTGCACACGATTGAAGTGCAATCCCGCGACAGCCATGGCTTGAAGTCTTGAGATTCACTGTGTTTGAAGAAGCTCCGACTCTAGCAACCTCGCATGGCGAGATCTGTAAGCTGTTGGTGCCCTCAGCTGATCTCACAGAGACCCTGACCCTGCGTTCCAGGCGGGTCTGTATTCAATATTCTCAGCCAGGCAGTGCTGACTGGGGTCCGAGTCAGGCAGCAGGACGAAAGTGGCGCTGCGTGGGTTCTGCTTGAACTGATGACCACAGACGAACAACAAAAATAGGATACAAATGCAAGGGAGGAGAGCAAGAGTACTCGCCGGAGTTCGTGATGAGAGATGAACACGGCATCCAAACACCACGAGTCTTCAAGAGGTCAAGAGGGAGCTTGAGGGGGACCTCATGGACATTCATGCGCCGCCAACAATTGGCTTAGGCACCATGAAGCCCAAACTGTTGGTGGATGTGCCGCCTGCAGCCCGTGTTTCAAGTTTCCGGTACATGACGGCAAAGTGCGGGACAAACGTGGCACCCAGGCCACCGACATTGTCTTCCAACGACAATACAGAAATGAAACAATCAAAACTTTCAGTGGCAGTATGTCAAGACAATGGACAATTCAAATAGAGAATTACTTTATTATTATTTTCTCCGTGTGAATGGAAGAACAGCTCGCCCACAGCGCAACCTACATTTCAGGGGCAGCTGTGCCGTCGTTGTGCTCGGTGTTTTTCCACTTCCAGACACTTGCAGCCAACACACGCCATGGGCCATCATTGCTGCTGGGCTTCCCGATTTAGCGAGGCGATTAACCGAGCTGATAAACATGAGCTGCGCCCGACGTGTGAGTAAACACTCGACGCGCCAGCTAAACATCTTCCCCGTCCCTTGGCAACATTAGTCACAGATAATTAGTAATTGAGATCCGACAGGAACGCGTATCCCTGAGGTTCTCGGACTTATCGATCAGTTTCTCTGGTCCGCTAGATTTGTTTAACCGTCAAGGTTCAATTGACGACAGTATTGAGCATTTGATAGCTCGCATTGTCAAGCATCCATGCTTTCACAGTGCTCACCGCCCAAGTGGCTGAAATAAAACATGGCACACCAGAACTCTTTTCGTGCAAGCTGAAGACCTCGTTCTGTTATTAATAATACTTCAATAATAACAGTAAAATAATTTATTATTGTATATTATTTAGCTTGATATTATATTAATTACTGGGTTGATTGTTTTGATATTGTGTTGAAATCCGAGGCTGTATGGAGTCTTTGGTGTGCCATGTTTTATTTCACCCACTTGCCGCCTCATGCCGGCATCCTGCCCAACAGCGATGACTTCATAGGTGCATCAAGAAAAATGAGGCGAATTCTTCTGCTCTGTGCTGGTACAAAATTCTCCATAGACCACCCAGTAGGCCCCCATCCATCTCGTGCAACACAACCAGCACCGTCGTAACAGCAATATACCACCCCAACATCACTGTGATGTGCAAGCCTACATAGCCATCGTAGGACAATTGAATTTAATTTAATGATCAGTACTTGGTCTAATTCCCCTGCCGATATAGGAGAAAAGAACGTGCGCGAATAAAGATGACATCGCTATCAAATTGAAGGGATCAAAGTAGAACTTCCGGATGATGTTCGCCGGGGGCTGTTAGTCTATTGTTCTAGAAACATTCTATATTACCTAGTCCCCATTACATCTCAGTAATCTGCGTCCTCAACTCAGCCCGAGCGGCCCGATTCAGTAGGTCTGCCTCCGCCACATACGCCTTTTGCTGTCAATAGTCGACGGCTAGCCTCGTAGCTTGACCCTTTTTAGCTTTCAAACTGCACGGGAGGAGCCAAAGTTGGCACCGTCTCGTCCGTCCAACTGCGGTAGGAAGGCTTGTTCATCAATATTGTTTGTGAACCAAATTGCTTGGGGTGATGCCGCTAATTTAGTTCCAGCTCTCTGCGGCTCGGGTTCGTCGGGGTTGTCAATATCATACGTTACGTTGTACACGCTATCTAAAAGCTGGGGTATTCTATTACGTTTTTCTCTCCTTTCTCCAGACCAAGGTGGGCATCTTCATGCATTATCTAGCCCCTGGCATGATCTTTTCATTTCTTGGTATTTGGCACTTGCCTCCTTACGAGGTGGTATGGTGCGTGTTTTCTATGGATCAACGATCATCCTCAATCGTTAAGCCTAAGGGGTGCTACATGCTTGATTCTTGTCCCAGCCCAGATCTTGATATCAATAGTTACCCTTCCCCTGGCTAAGCCCAATTTGCCAAACCCGCGTTCTCGCTCACCCTATTGAAAAAAATTTGTTCTAGCAAAAAGAGAAGCCTCGGCCAATGTCGGGTTAAACATCCGCTCACAACTTTAGTGACGCCGGTTCTTACTCTAAACCATGGCTATCGCTAAGGTTCAGCACGAACCCAACGCCAAAAAGCCTGATCAGGGCCGATTTGTAAAATCCTCAGCAATCGATCGGTCTTATCAATGACCCCATGTGTGATGTAAGGAAAAATGGATCTCAACCAGGATGAGAGTGGGTGAGCGGAGCGTAGAATTCACCGTCGTCTGGGGCAGCTGATGTTGGGCCAAAACATTGCCCATCGTAGGTTGATCAGAAAATTTTCGACGGCTGAACCTACGAATCTGACCGAGATTGATATGCAGCCACCTTGGGCTAGGTGCTATTTGGAAAAGGGGATGGCTCCTAAGCCGAGGTGGTGTCGAGAAAAGGCGTGTGTGTGTGCGGATCGGCAGGGATTCTCGTGGTTGGTTGTCCGAGCATAGAACACTTCTAGAACTTGCTGCTTCCCATGTGAAATTGAGGGTTGTGTGGGCACCTATGCTGCACTTCAAATTTTAGAAGGGCCAAGATCAGCTCCGGCACGCATCCCCCAGCACGGTAGAGTGGAGTGTGATGATGATGCCATGTCCAATGGCAAGCTACGGAGTCACGCTACTGAGAGGCTCCAGACCATCTAAGCTCTCATGTTGGTCAGTGAATGGGTGCTAGATCCACTAGCATCAGACGTTGAGCGATATCCGTCGTGTTCGAACAGGCTTCCTTTTCTATTACCAAGCCCCTTTAGGTCAGCCATCAGTGCTCGACTCACATTTTGCCCCATGGGGGATGGGCTGAGGAACAAGAGCCAGCGACTATTGGACCAACGGGTGATGATCAGAGGCTAGTGGCCAGCCCACTTTCACAAGCAGCATCTCGTCTAACCCTCCGACGAGGCCTCACACACTTGAACGTTGGTCCCTGGTTGAGCCAGGGGATCCTTGCCCCAAGTAAGTTTGACCGATGCACAGCATTGAGATTCTCTCGGCTCCCATGTGTCGTATATGTATAATGGCAAGGGCCCCATCTGGGGATCTTCATCCTTATTCATCCCTCCGGTTGTGGTCCTGTCCCGTTTACCTCGTGGATTGAACTCGAAGCACCACCCACTTTGAGGCGGGCTAGTTCTTTCGTTCAGGTTCTTGGCCATGCCAGAACTCACCGGACAGATACTGGCGGCAGTGGGCATTTGCTTCACTGCCGCCACTTTGGCAATGATAGGGCGTGTCATCGCAAGAAAGATGACCAAGGTGGCATGGTGGTATGAAGATTACTTTTGCATTGTGTCATATGTAAGTATTGCAAAACCTCGCCACTGCCCATGTAACGAAGCATTCCACTGACTTCATGCCAAGGTGAGCGTCATTGCCTACAATAGTGTTGTCATATACTGTGAGTACCTAGCCAACGTATCATTCCCTTGAAGAGGAGGAGAAATGTTCTAGCAGGAGCTAACCAGTGCTGCATAGGGGCATCGGATTGGTATCTCGGCAAAACGATACCAAGTACTGTTACCGCAGAAGCGAAAGCTCACATCCTCGAAATGTCGCGGAAGCTCTCTTTCGCCGGCTCGCACTCGTACGGCATATCGCTTGGTTTCTCGAAGCTCACCGTACTGTCCTTATATTGGCGCATCTTCAAACACTCGGCCATCCGAATACCCATAATTATTATGATGACGATTTCGGCGGCATGGATCTGTTTACGTATCTTCATGATAACATTTCGTTGTTGGCCAGTCGCAGCATATTGGGATAAGAACATACCTGGTGGCGCGTGCAAGATCCCAGACTCTGCTGTCTTCTTCGGCACCGTACTCCCACACTTCGTAATGGATATTGTGATCCTCATTCTCCCTGTCGTTGAAGTATTCAAGCTTCGTCTTAGGATGGGCCAGAAGTTTGGTGTTGCCGCCTTGTTTGTCTTGGGCGCTATGTGAGTATCATCATGCCAGAACCCATTGAGAGATCGTTGCGAAGCTAACTTAGACTTGCCAGCGTGTGTATCGCATCAGTATTTGTCCTATACTACTCTCTCGTAGCCGATCTAAACAGCGATCAGCTCCCACGCGATTACTATAGCTACAACTTCCTCTGGGGCGCAGTTGAGAGCAACATAGCAGTTGTTTCGTGTAAGCCCTCCCTCTTCCCAGCCGTTTCCAATCTTCAGCACTGACAATCATCATATCTAGCCTGTCTTCCGCTCTTGCGACCTCTCTTCCGCCTCATAGCCGGCTCCAACGCTATGGCCAGCTACAGCGGGCAGCCTTTCAGTTACGGTACTCATGGCCACGAGCTGACGGCGATGTCAAGGTCAAAACGCGAGAAGGAGCCCGATGCGACTAGCTCTACTCATCAACTCGCCGACGAGGAGAGCATCCCAGACAGCTCTGATCTGGATCCGAATGTGGCAAGGAACCCTGATCGTATTCACACAACTATTAAGGGCCAGAGTGCTGGGTCGGGTTGGAGTTCTCATACTAAGCAAGACCGCAGCATTCATGTCCGGAATGACGTTATTGTGGAAGTACGAAATGTAGATCAAGGAAATCAAGCCGTAGACCGGCAGAAGTAAAAACTAATTTCAGGATATAGACTTAATAATATATTAGATATTTCAGTAGAGATAAGATTCTATTTTTAACAGCATAATATATCGGAGTTTCCGTTCTCATGTTTGCAGAGCACAGGGTTCCTCCATTCTTATTCTTCAAAAGGTACACGAGACGAAGTATCCTTACTATATAGCCTTCCTCGTTTGTTTACTATCGAGCCTTCGGAATTTATTCCGACACTGCGCAGTATCCCCGCCATACTTTTAACTGTACGCCTAGAAGGTGCGTGAGCACGTAGAAATGCTATTAGGCGGGGTACAAGGGTTCAACCCATTCTCCTTTGTAATCTTAGAGAGAAAAGCATGCTACGATGAATCGAGTTTTAGTTTTATACGTCTATGATTAACCGCCACTGAATGAGCAGAGTTTTGTAGAATAATCTTTTCACTATTGCAATATAGGGTCATCATTTGTTGATGACATAGCATATGATCTCGAAGTCGTTTATGTTTCTTTCCGATACTCAATCAGAGCTTAGAGATCTCAAATATCGTGATCTTTCATGGATCGAATGCCATGAGACGTCGTCAAACTGAACCCTTTCCCAACCAACGGAAGGCAAAGAGCATAAGCTCATTATCCGATCAACGGCGCTCATATTATCCAATCAATCACACTCGCCTTCTTAGGCATCTCCGAGTTTGATGGAAACTCAATTGAAGGTTCTTCTTTTTTTAACATTTGCTGTGCTAGCCTTTTCCCTTTTCCCTCGCCAACACAAAAAGACGTCGCCTTCGAAGCTAGTTCCTGAAACGGTGAGCTTCAGCGCACAAAAATGGAAATACCTAAGAGGAGTCAACTACGTTCACCCTCTCGATACTGAAATGGCAATATTTGAAGAATACTATATTTTGATGGATTCCCAAAAGCTTCGCTTAGTGCTTCTTGGTTTTGGTCTCTGGTGGGCACTGGGTATAGCCGGGCCGCTCGGGAAGAAGCCAAGGGATCTAGAAAAACACCTGTGCACCTGACGATGAATTATCACCTAATACAACATGCCCCTCTCTGGGATACTGAAGAACACGTTGATCAGCTGCGCTCGGGGGTTATTCTCCTGCCAAATACAGAAGGCCACCAAGCTCCAATACCCTCGCTGTCCCAGAAGTGCTACCGTTCTCCATGCGCAGACAGACTTAGTGTCCCGTTCTCGGTGTGGATTTGCACATGCCTGTAAAAGATGGAGAGCGAGCTCGGTCTTTCTTTTCCTCCTACCGAAGCGGGAAATAGCGCCATGTCAACAGTATCATCTCCCCGCACCTGTGTAAGAGATGAGAGGGGCAGTTAAGATACCGTGGTAGTAGGAATCAATGCGAAAGAGATGTCATGCGATCAGTCATGATCCAAAAATCCTTTGAATCAGAGATAGATGAATATAATGACGCCCTCATGTCTCTCCTTTTGGGCCCAGGAGTAGCGTAATCCCGCGCTGCCAACTAAAGTAGCCCCTCCGTAAATAGTGCCATCATGGGGATCCTCCACGTCACAAATGCATACCCAGCCAGGCCGTTTGTGTCTTTGAAGCAAATCGTCATGGGTGTGCTTCTCTCGAGGACGACAACTGCCCGAGCCAATTACCCCAAGGAAGAGTCCTTGCCGGAATACACCACCTCCGAGGCGGGGAACCCTTTTCTCGACGGCTGGTATGCGGACCCGGACACGGAGATCTACAATGGAGAGTATTGGGTTTTTCCCACCTTCTCGGACGTCTACGAGAAGCAGACGTTCCTCGATGCCTTCTCCAGCCCAGACCTCGTCAATTGGACAAAGCACCCCAGGATTCTGACAACTGAGACGGTGGAATGGGCTCATAAGGCCATCTGGGCTCCCGCCCCCATCTTCAGGAACGGGAAGTACTACCTGTACTTCGGCGCCAACGACATCCTCATCGACGAGATTGAGCAGGGCCTAGTGGGAGGCATCGGGGTCGGTGTTGCAGACCGGCCGCAGGGTCCCTACGTCGATGCCATCGGGAAGCCCCTCATCGGCGAATTCCACAACGGCGCGCAGCCGATCGATCAGGACGTCTTCATCGACGACGACGGCCAGGCGTACATCTACTACGGCGGGCACTCGCACGCCAACGTGGCCAAGCTCAACGAGGACATGATCTCCCTCGGCACCTTCTCCGACGGCACCACCTTCAAGGAGATCACGCCCGAGAACTACGTCGAAGGGTCGCAGATGATCAAGCGCAACGGCGTGTATTACTTCATGTGGTCCGAAGGCGGGTGGACGGGGCCCGACTACGCCGTGTCCTACGCCATGTCCGACTCGCCGCTTGGGCCGTTTGAGCGCCGCGACAAGATCCTGGAGCAGGACAGCGCGGTGGCGAGGGGGAGCGGCCATCACGGTGTCATCCACGTCCCCGGCACAGAGATCTATTACATCGTGTACCATCGACGCCCGCTCAGCGAGACTGACGGTAACCACCGTGTGACGTGCTATGACAGGATGTATTTCGAGGACGACGGGACGATCCGGAAGGTCAAGATGCTGGTCAAGGATAACTTTGCGGATGGCAAGATGATTGCCTGGAAGACATCAGGGGCCGGCGAGTGGGCGGTGGAAGACCAGAGGCTCAAGGGCACTTCTGGGCGTGAGCCTGCGTATGCTTTCCTGGATACGAATTTCACAGACCTTGTTTTCGATGCGACAGTATCTTCTGCCGATTATTCTATCTCAGTCCCCGCTCTGATCTTCCGTGCATCAAGCATGGAGGCAAACAGCACTCATTACTGGGCGAAGGTGCGTTCCGATCGCGTTGAATTTGGCATCGCGACGAATGGTGTTGAGGAAATCATTCATCATGAAGAGACAATTGTTGGAAGCGGGGAGCATAAACTGAGCGTCAAAGCTTTGGGCACTAAAGTATCGATTTTCGTCGACGATGTTTCGGGCCCGCTCCTCATCGCCAATGACACACGCCTAGCAACCGGCGCGACAGGCGTAGCTGTAACGGGGGAAGGGTTCTTTAGTAGTATCTCAGTTGCCCGAGCAGAATAGTTCCGAAACATTACATGCTTGGTTGATCAGGATGAGGGACGACTTCATGTTATATGACGAAAACTGCGTCAAACCGTAGTTCGGAAGCCTACCCTGTACGCCGGCTGTCCCAAAAATAGTCTTTGGTCTAGATGCTCTGTTGAGACATCACCCAGTGCAGAAAATATTGAGTAGGCTGTGACATCATATGGTACTTGTCGGTATTTTTAATTTTCTTCTGAGCAGAACACCATGTTGAGCTCAGGCTATCGGTGACAACCACACATGTATATGTGCCTACCGTTCTTGTCCTTTTCTACCAACATGAGTCTGCATTGAGGACAAATACGACAAGGAGGCCACACTGAGCGGCCTAGCGCCTCACTGTAACCGAATTTAGTGCAGCGTTTCAGCACACCCAGACCACCCACTTAGTGCTTGTCACCTGCCCAAAGTCCCTAAACTTTGTTCCTCCTGCTGGCTTCACAACTCACATCTCAATTCCAAACTAAATCATATATAGACCTCAATATAGCCGTGGTCTACCACATACGACTATACCCATTCAAGAATACACGATCCCGTTATATCCTTATATTCTGGGAGTATTAGTATCTAAATAGTTATCCCTTAGTCTCTATCTTTAGATCCTGATATATCTCTTTAAAGTAGCTATTACTCTTAGATATTTTTATTTATAAAGAATAATTTTTAATATACTTTAGACTATCTTTCTAAATAAGAAAATAATAATTATAATAAATACTTACTTTCTAATAGAATAGCTACTATCTAAAATAGCTTAAGTTTAGAGTAGAGATTAATTTATATTAGGGGTATATATACTATTTAGATAGTTCTATTAGTAGATATTAATAAAGATAGTAATATTATAGCTAACTAATAAATTTATTATCTATTAGTATTATTATATTAGTTAATATTATAGATTCTATATTTTTAGATAATAGTACTACTAGATATACTAAATTAAGTATAGTTTTATTATAAGTAAGTAGAATATTAGTTATAAAGTAGCTGCTTATAGAGCTATATTATATATTTAGCTTCTATTAATAGATATAGCTATATAGACTATAGTATTTAATCTCCTTATATATCTACTAACTGATTATTAATACTAAATATTAACCCCCTATTATATAATAAGATCTATAGATATCTATTAATATTAAATAACTATAGATCTAACTACTATAGAAAAGGAGTTAATAAGAAGCTATAGGATATAATATCTAGTATAAATATTAATAATATAAAGAAGAGTAATAATAATATTAAGAAGCTAAGAAATATATAAGTATATCTTAACTACTACTACTCTAGTAATATCTTAAAATATACTATTTACTTAGTCTAGCTATAGAGACTATAACTAATTATTTCTTAATAATATAAGGAGATATAATAAAGCCTACTAGTTAGATCTACTTATAATATATTATTCCTTAGACTAAGTTTATAGTAGAATAAGAAAAGATCTAGAATAAGCTTATATCTAGTAACTATAGACTTATTACTACTATTTCTAATATAGTAGCTATATCTATTTAGATAAGATATATCTATTATATAGTAGCTTAACTATATATTATATAATCTATTATATAAGAGATATTAATTATATTTAACCCTATAAATATATATCTTTAATATATACTTTCTCCTATTCTCTATCTTAGCTTATATTAGATTCTCTCTTCTTTATAAATATAGCTAGTCTTACTATATCTCCCTTATCTACTCTTACTAAGTTATTATTTTTATTTAGAATTAAGCTCTATATCTACTAGATTAACTAATTATTATAATATTCTATTATAAGGATTATAAGAAATACTCTACTATTTATAATTATTATTCTTCCTAATATTATTTAAAGTTCTATCTTACTTTCTATATAGTTTCTCTTAGGATTTTTATCTTATAAGATCTAAAGAATTTAATAGTTTAGAGATATACCCTAGTAGGAGAATAGCTTTATAATACTATAATATAGTAAGGTTTATATAATAGCTGAATATTATATAATAATATATATTCTTATAAGGCTTCTAATAAATAGTTAGCTAATAGTAAAAATATTATAGTAGCTAATTAATATCTTATTCTATATATAATAGAGATAGTTTTATTTTTAGCTTCTTTTCTAAAATAAGTATAAGATAATATAGAGGCTCTGGTATAAGTTTATTTATCTAATTAGTTCTTAGACTAACTAAAGTATATAATAGCTTATCTAATTAAGACTGAGTTATTATTATCTTATTCAGAGGTTACTAGAACTATCTACTGCTTATAGAGATATTCTCTTAAGTATTACTTACTAGCTCTTAATTTACCTATTAAGAGTATATATAATTTCTATAGTTAGTTAGGGTAATTTACTATATACTACTTAAGCAGTAAATTATTTACTACTCTAAAAATAAAAAACTATCTTTTACTTTTAAATTATTCTTTATTTTTAAAATTATAATCTTTAACTTATTATTCTATAGCTAGTTTAGCTTATATAATAATCTGAATAGTCTTATTTAATTAATTAAATATAGAAGTCCCTAACTAAATACTAAATATATATATAATTAATTATAGTTATTAGCTTTAACTATATAGCTTAGTTATAATTCCTCTCCTTTAACTAATATTAATATTATAACTATAGACCTACTATTACAAATTATATTATTATATATTAGAGTTATATAGACTACTCTACTTTTTCTAACTAATTACTAGTAGATTATCAGGATCTTATAATAATCCTAATAATCCAGGATAATAGATTATTACTAAGCTTTAATAATCCCCTAGTATATATATATATTTACTTTACTAAATAGAATACTCCTTTAGATAGTTATTAATATAATTATCTATATATCTATTATTACTAGCTCTGTAATACTTATATATTAATAGTAACTTATATTATATAGCTTAAGATAATCTAATTATACTACTCAGAATAATACTCTGATTAGTTTAACCTTAACCTACCCTAGACCCTATTCAGTATAAGTTAACCTAACTGTTATATATTAATAACTCTTATTCAGCTGATTACCTTATCTTAATTACTATATAATAATAAAGAAGATATAAGGCTAAATATAAAATTAATAAACTCTTTTAGACTGGACCTATCTCTACCTTCAGCAGTAAGTACCTTTAGCTTTTAGTAAAAACTGGATAGGATTAAGAGTATATTATATCTTACTACTTTAAAAGACTAAAGAAAGAAGTCTAGAAGGAACTCTATAAAGAAAATAGACTAG